AGGGATTTTATAATTTTAAATCTAATACAGGTCATTTAATATATATTTTAATTTGGCTTTTAGATATTTATTGCATTGTATTGTTTTTATTTACCTGTAAGCCGCCCTGAGTCCCTCGGGAGAAGGGCGGGGTATAAATGGGAATAATAAATAAATAGGCTGCCTGTCTTACCTCCAGGTAACCCTGGATAAGAAATCTCCAGGAAAGGCTGCAGGCTAGATGGGAAAGTGCAAATCAGGCAAGGCCAAACCTCAAGTTGAGGTGAATTAATTTAGTCAGGGACAGGAAGGGAGTGCAAGATGAACAGGGACCAAGAGGAGGCAACCCACTGAGCTCAGCAGCGAAATTAAGCTGACCATCTGAGTGGCTTTGATGAGGCTCATAGAAAGGCTTTTGGCACTCCTGATTCCTGGGAACCGTAGTCCTGGATCTGTGCCAAAGAAAGTTCTAAGCAAAAGGTTCTGTCATTTTTAGTGCCAGGGAGAAAGCTGGTAGACACAGGGACCCCTACCTGGAGGCTTAATCTTGCCCCCTTCAGGTACTTAGAAGTAAACCCTCCTGCAAGGAAAAATGATAAGAACCCCACAAGGAGGAAGACGGTCAAAGGCCTGACACCGTTCAGAGCGGTTCTTTTGGGGCAAGGCCCAAAGTGGCATGCAACCCTCTGCACTGTCCAGCTGGAGGTCATGGGGCCTTTGGTGTTTTGTTTTGGATTCCCCCTCTCCCCACCCCAGCACTGGTCTAACAGGTGTAAAGCTGCTCTGGGAAACAAGGATGTTTACTCAGAAGTGAGTCCTGCTGTATGGAGTATGGCCTCTTGTGCAACCAGCGTCCCAAGTGTGTCCAGGCCTTTAGTTCTTCTGGGTAGATCTGCATACCTGCCCTGAGGGATTTACAGAGTAAGCCAAAAAAGCCTAAGTAGGATCCACCTGCCAGACCTTCGGTGCTTTCAGACCTGCCTGCTGAGGAGCAAGAGATTCCTCCCCCACCCCCACCCCGTCTTCACTCCTTCTCTAACCACTTCTTGAAGGCTCCCTTATCCACACGCTTGCATTCCGCCTGGAAGGGTTTTAAACAAAGTGATTTGAACAATTTTAATGGGTAGATTTTTGTAACCCAAACAAACCAATTGTAATGGATACCGGAGGGTCCCTCGGTCTAATGCAAGCCCTGCTTTTAAGGCCGGCTTGGTCAGCCGAGATGAGCAGGCCGGCAGACGAAGTCTTGCAGAATTTGGCTCCCCCGGCCGGGGTTTGGGCGGAGAGCCGAGCGGTCAGGCCGCCTCTTTCTCCGCTGGGAAAAGACAGACGCCAAGCAAGGCCCGGGGAGGGGCGGCTGAAACACCGGGCCGGGCGCTCTGGCGGCGAGGCTGGCCGGAGCTCTTGGCCACGGAGGAACGGGCCAGCTTGGAAGCCGCCCGCCCAGCCGGGAGAGGGCTCCGCGCGCCGTATCCGAGGGCAAAGCTGCCCGCTCGGCTCCTGCCCCGCGCCGGCCAGGATGCGGCGACGCACCCGGCAGGCGCGGCTCAGGCCCCGGCCGGCCGCCCTCGAGGGAGCAGGGGTGGCGGGGTCCCCGGCCGGCAGGCGGGGGAGGGGCCAGTTCACTTCCGCCCCCTGGCCGTCCGCTTGCGCCGCGCCGACTGGCCGCCGATGCCGGCTTCGCGGGCGGCGCCATAAATAGCGGAGCCCGGGCAGGCTCGGCCAGTGGCTGGTCGGGCAGAGGCGGCGCGCTGTTGCTGCTCGGCGTCGAGGAGAGCCCGAGCCCGACGGGGCACCAGCCGACACCCCCCCCAACCGAGCAGGCTCAGCGCGCCGGCAGCGCCCGCCATGCGCTCCACCTTGGCCTCCGAGAGCGCCCTGGGCGCGGGGCCGCTGCACGCCTGGCCGTGGGGCGCCGTCGGAGGGAGCGCGATCTCTGCCGTCGGCCCAGGTAAGACCGCGCCTTCGCCGCGACGCCCGAGTCGGGGGAGGAGGGAGCGCCGCCGCCGCGGCTGGCGGGGCCGTGTCCCCTGGCGCTCCAGCGGGGGGGCCCTCGGGAGCCCCGCGGCGCCTGGCGGTCTGGGCGCCGGGACAGCGGAGTCGGTCGGTGAGGCGGCGGGGAATCTGCCTCGCGCTAAAGGAGCGCGGGAAGAAGGCGCCCAGCTGGAGAGCGGAGTCCCCCGACGGCTTCGCTCCCGAACTAGACCGCCGCCAGCCGTCGCCCCGGGGCGCTGCAGAGGTCCCAGGCTGCGCCCCGGCTGTGCTCGGCTTGAGCAGCAGCGCAACGGGGTTGGGGGTGGGGGTGCTCAGGTGCTCAACCCCCCTTCCTCCGCCCGCAGAAGGGGCTGCCTCCCCCAAAACATGCCCCCCCCGCCGCCGTTCGTTGCTGGCAGAAAAGGAGGCTGATCACTGGGGCCAAATTCCTCGAATTCGGGGACAGGGCAACCTTCAGCCAGCTGGGCTCTGCCTTGGAGGGAAGTAGAAGAGAATTCCTGGCTCAGGGTTGAACTGGGGGGTCCTCGGAGCTCTCCGAGCTTCCCTATTTTCTTGCAGATGTTTCGGTACCAAACTAGGTAACATCATCATTAGAGGAAGATTTTAGGCACTTGTGCTTGAATTAGATCCTTTGATTCCAGCACAAAGATAAATAATTCGTGGTGGAAGGGGCCTGATCTTTCACCTCGCTTCTTATGGGCTCCTTTTACAAGCCTGGCATTGGGAAATCAAAGGTGCTCCTTATGGATGGGAAGAAAGGCTCCATTACCTGGCTACATACAATTCAGTATTGCTCAGTACCAACAATTCAAGGGCAAATTTTTATATATATTTTTTTGTCTTGGTCGGGCAAAATTAAGTGACTTTTGCACCCGGGAGGCTTTGGTGCTGTGATGGAACACCCCATAGGAAACCAGATTCTCCTAATGGGTATTTTTACTTTCTTTCTGGATTGTGCTAAATGTCATTTATTTAAATATTCCCTCTGTGACATAGTAGCAAAATTAGAAACTGATCTTAAAGATAAATTTAAGAAATAATTAAAATCATGCTGTCTTATTATATGATACTGGAATATACTCAGCCAAATCAAGACTCTCCATATGAAGTAGAGACCAGCCACCCCGCTCTCTTCAGTGGGTTATTTGCATCAATCAGTTGGTTTTTTTCTTAAATAAAGGCCATGTCCCCATCTTGTGTGTGTATTTATACTCAATATGAATTATTTAAAAAGGGCAATGGAATTGACAATATATTTATTTATTGTAGGATTTAAACAATAAGATGATGCTGAGGTTGCTATTCATAATGCCTCTGCCTCCTGTTTTCTCTGCCCTGCCCAATGAGCTTGAATGTTCTTTGATTCTTTCAAGAGAAAGGATGTAGTCTTCCACCCATCAGGGCTCTCAGCATTTTCCCACCTGAGCAAGGTTCCCTTTGCCTGGGCTAACATCCAGAACACCCTGCAAATGGAGTTAAGTGTGAAGGAAGAGGGTTGGAGCCAGTGCACAAAGTGAAAGCTGCCATTGACCTGTTCAAAGACAACCTGTTTAGAGCTGATACTTGTGGCTGGGAGGATGGCTCCCACCTGCCCTCATCTGAGTAACTTGTGCTTGGCCTAACCTGCCAAGAGGGCAATTGGTGCAGGGCCAGTTTCACTGCTGAGGCAACTGCCTGCCTATTCCTTTCGCTACACTAAGAGGATGTTGGGTGTGTGGAATCACACAGGCTGAATCCCAAAGACATACCAGCAGCTCCCGAGTCCCTCCCATTCAGTCACTGCTTCAGAGTGAAACAGGTCCAAAGATGCCATGGGAGGCAGCTGGGACAAGACAGAATAAAGAGCTTGCTGTGGATGCAGAGTGGAGCCCAGCAGGTGGGAGATCAGTGCCCCCTGGCCATACCCTCCTTCCTTTCCGCCATAAAAAGGATGGCCCTATTTTTGTCAGACACCTGTCCAGCAGCAGAAACCCTGTTCCTGGGCAAGAGTTTGGAGGGGGGGAAAGGGAGGAGCAGTTTGTTTACTGCCAGTTTTTATTTCTGGCAGTTGCCCCATGCTCTTGAGATTTTATTGTTTGCTTTATATGTCAGAACAGAGATCAGGAGGCGCAGCTGGGATGTAACAAGCAGCAAACACGTCCTTTAAAGATGGCTGCGCTGGGGGGCAGAGGTTGCTTCAATCTGCCACAAGCTTCCAACTGGGCTTCAGTAAAAGACGGGTGAGCATCAGAAAGGCGAAGGGGGTCATCACGCAGGTCTTCCTGGCTGTGGAACAGCACGGGCACGTCTGCAGCTGGAGGCAGGGAAAGTTTAGCCCTAACAGCCCTGAACCTAAAGAAGACAGAAGGTGAGAAGGGAGGGAGGAGTGTGTAGAAGGGGAACCATCACTGTCTGGTGCCTTGATAAAGCATCTTGGCCTGTTGCCCCCCTTTTCCTGAGCCAGCATGGAAGGCTGTGTTTAGAACTTTTGTATGTCTGTTTCTCTTAAATGCATATGTCTAGGTGGAAAATAATCAGTACAGGAAACAAAAAAACCATAACCATAATTAAAAATGTCCCAATATAAAGAAGAAAAATCAAGGCACTATATACCAGTGTGAGTATCCTGAACCTAAGGATGGGAGATAGGCCAGGTCACAGCAGTTTTCTGGATGGCTAAGAAGGTTGAGGCACACCTCAGTCCCATAAGACTGCACCAACAGGACCTGGAGCTGCTTGTCAGATCCAGTGCAACTGCAGAGATATCTGCTGCTCTTCTCACTCACCACTGAATTTGCTCTCCTATCTGGCCAGATATCAACCCTCCCTGTCACTTACTAGCAAGACAAAGCAGAGTCGGACTCCATGCATGATGGTGGGGATTCCAAAAGAGCTACCTTGTCTCACTTTACCTTCACCTGGCCAAGAGCAGCACAAAAGTGAAAGGTGAGCGTGAGGCTGAAGCTGAGCTTCTCCCTGGGCTGCCATGTTAGCCTCAGCCTCTGTGTCCACCCTGTCCTTTTGCTAGGGATCCTGCTGGGAGAAGCATCTCAGGAAATGCTGGCTGGCTGGCCCTGAATCTCCTGGGCTGTTGACAGATTTGCATTCTCTTCTGCCTTATTTTTCCACAATTGTTGGAAAATAATTTACCTCCTGACTCATGATTGCTACCTATTAGGAAACACCTGCTAATCTCTCCCAGCCCCTGAATAAAATAAGCATTTTATAATTGAATGTTTTAATCTAAACCAATACATCAGAGTCTTCCCATCTAGCTCTTGCATACAGTAGTGTGTGTGCCTTCAAGTCAGTGTTGACTCTTAGCAACTGACAAGTGACAGCAGTTTTCTTGACAAGGTTTTTCAGAAATGGTTTGCCACTGCTCCTTCCCAGGGCTGAGCGAAAGGGCAACCAGATGGCTTTGTGCTTAAGGCAAGGCTAAAACTCATGGCCTGGCCTGATGCCTTCACCACTATACCCAACTGGCTCTATAAAGGAGCCATCACTTCTGCATTTCTTTTATGTGTGATTGAGGTTCCTGCATCCCCCTAAGCCCCCATGGTTTATGGCTGAAGCTTGTGTGAAGCAGGCCACCTGAGTGCATTTTGGTTCAGCTGGATTTGGCCAGTCTAGCTTTAGAGTAGCTATTCTCAACCTGCTCTCCAGATGTGTTGGATCACAGTTCCCATCTAGCTGGATTAACTTGTGTGTGCGTATAGAACTATGTTCTGTAATTAACAAATGGCTGTCCTTTGTAGAAATACCATTTATAGCATTATCAAAATATTATATATTTTAACAATATACTACTGGAGGAAAAATAAAGTTTCCACAGCCTGCAAAAGTAAATGGTTCCAATGGCACCAGAATGGTGCCAAATATTTTATTGAACAAATGACATTCTTAACCCGATTACTGAATTAACCCAGGTTCCTGATTCAGACAGTATTCTTCTTCTTGTGCCATATCCGTTATCAGATGTTGGCGATCCTGTTTTTATCAGCAGCCGCACGAAAAAGTGCTGCTGAGTTTTGTCCAAACCAGTCCCTGAGATTTTGAAGACGGTATACAGAACTGTAAATTAACAAAAGGGAGTTTCACAACCAAGTCAAAATACCACACTCCAGCTAAGGCAGCAGGCACCAAGTTAGTGACAAGATGTGGAAATGCAGGTTTGCCTCCATTCACCTGGCTAAGCAGCATTGTGCGCACAGCCTTTAAGATTTGTGGCTGCTCCAGTCGTGAAAACAGGCTTGTTTTGGCCTCACTTTTCAGAAGTGGAGCAAAGTTGAGAGAAAGGCAGCCCAGGGAGCCAAAGCGGAGGCGGCTGAGAAAACCACCCAAGACAGAAAAGCCGGTGTGCAGAGTGGGAGAGACGGGGGGGGGACTCGGGGGGGGGGAGGGAGGTAGGATCGGGGAAAACCAGTAAGGGCATTAAAGACACCCCACCGTGGCGGAAAGGTGGGGAGGGCTGACAAAGGGAAGCATTTTCCCCCGGCCTTCCCCACCGGGGCCCTCCTGCTGCCGGGCGGACGCTGCCGCCAAGTGTGCCGGGGTCCGGGCTGTTCCCCTGGCTGCGACCCTTCGCTTCCAGCGCTTCCATGATCCCCCCGCCCCGCAAGGGCCAGCCCGGGATGCAGGTTGGGCCGACGGCCTGTTGCGCGCCACTGAACGAGTCGGCCTCGATGGCGCCTCCTCGCGGGGGGGCTCCGAGCTGGCGCCGCTGTCCCCCCACTTCCCACCTGGGTGCCACGCCTCCCTGCCCAGGCCCCACCCCTTTGGCAAGGGGGGGAGTCTCCCTCCGCTTCGCCCGCTTGCCAAACAGGCTAATTGCCGCGCCACTCCCTCCGCGACCCCTCCCCGGACAGTTCTAGGGGCGCAAGCGCAGAAGCACTCCTTCGTGCTTCCGATCCCGCCCTCCTCCCCAGGCACGGTAGACCTGGGCGCATGCGCGCTCCATTTCCTTCTCGGTGCGCAGAGGTCGAAGGATCCCGAAGGCCGAGGATTTCCCCGCGTTCTCGGGCGGGGCGCATGCGCCTTGCACTTGTCGCCGCTTTCTCGGTCTCCCTCCGGCCACCGCTGGCGCGCGGAGCCGGGTGGCGCATGCGCAGTACTAGGAACGAGGGGGCGGTCCCGCTGGGCGGCAGCCACCGGATTCCTGTCAGGAGCGGCGCCCGCGGAGCCGCTTCCCCGTCGGTCCCCGCAGCGCGGCCCCGGAGCGGCGATGCCCTCGGACTTCATCTCTCTGCTCAGCGCCGACCTCGACCTCGAGTCGCCCAAGTCCCTCTACTCCAAGGGTGAGTCGGCCACCGAGGCCGCGCTGGGCCTTCTCGGCCAGCGGGCGAGCCAGGCCGCCGCAGCCAGCGCCACCCGGGCCGGATTGCGGGCGGCCCGAGCGGTTGGAGCCTCGCGGCAGGCCGGTGCCTGCGAGCCCCGCGGATCCGCCTGGGGGCTGGAGGCGCTTCCCGAGAGCGGCGGGGGGGGCGGCCCTGGGGGCGGGGAAAGCGTGGTCCGAGCGGCGAAGGGGGGATCTGGTTGCCCCGAGCTCGGCTGAATTGGGCCGCTGCTGAAGGAGGCCGGGCTGGCCTTGGCTTCCTTCAACTCCAGCGCCGGAAAGTGGCAGCAATACCCGAGGAAGAGCCCTGCGGCCAGCCGGGCGTGGGTGGCTTTTGACAAGACCAATCCAGAGTCAAACGGAGGTTAGATAAGAAAGATGCGCGAAGCCTCCGGTAACTGGGAAGGCGACATCTTTTGTTTTCCCTCGTCTGGCTTAAGATGTAAACAAAAACTATCATCAAACTATAAAGAGGCTGGAAGTCTAGAGAGGCTTGTGAAAAACTAAAAACAGAATCTGCTGGTTGCTTTTGAAATTAGAAGATTTAACTCTTTATCACAGTAACCTAAAACTCCCATTAAATTAAGTTTCTATTTTGTGGGGTAGTAGGTAACTATAGGTTAGCAGCAGGTGAGTAGCAAATATAAAATATGTTAAATTGTTGAAAATGCCTGTTATTAATAATACCCAAATATGTGTTGGGTATTGTTGTTTGCTCAATATTGCTTCCATCAATCCTAGCAGTAACTTCAGATTTTTATCAAGCTGTTGATTTATTACAGTTACCTGAAGCTTTGAATCTGGGAAGCTTATTTTCAAATTGGTATTCGTGTAGGGTTTTTTTTACCAGTCTATGTTCACATTAACTGTTTTGTGGTGTACAAGAGGCTTGTGAACTGATAGGTAGTGCTTGACTATCTTTCTAAGAATATTTTGTCATTTTTGTCATATATCCTTTTCTTCGTTCCCTTTTGTATGGAATGTTCTGTTATTAGAAAAACCGGTAGTTGTTAAATCTTTAGCAAAAGTTACTCTGACAACCACAAATAACCTTTTATTTAATTTAGATCAGTGATACCAATTATGATGCTAAGAGCATGTGGTTGTGATAACCAAGCAAATATAATCTTACAATGTATTTGCTTTCAAAAATAATTCTGAAAGAATGATAGTAAATATTATTCAAGTAAAACATCCTAAATAAACCTAAATCAAAATGCTGATTGTTGCAAATATATTGAATGTTGTATGTTGAAGTATTATCATTTTGTAAATAAATACAATTTCAATAATTTTCATAGAAGATTTAGGTAAGTATTTTTAAAGACATAATAGCTTCTATAGCATTCTTCTCAGTTTCTCATAAAATAGGCGCTTTGTTATCATATGCAAGGTAACAAAACTAGAAAGAATACATAAATTATCTAGAAACAAGTAGGATTTGAAAGTTTATGTAACATACATATGCGTGTGCATGCAACAGACGCCATATATGTAACATTTTATACAGTATATGAATTCCCTTCTCGCCTTGGTGGGTGCTCTGTGTCTTCCTCAATCTTGGATACTCTACCAGAGACCTGGGAGTTTGAGGATCCTGTGCAGTACCTTAGCTGTTCTTAACACCACACTTCTCTGGAGAGAAAGCCCTGAGGTGGTTTCTGGGATTGATTGAAGCCTCTCCCAGCTTAGGAGCCACAGCCCCGAATTCTACCACTGCTGGGATTGCTTTGGTCTTTCCTTTCCATATCCTTTTTAGTTCCTCCTTCAGCCCCTGGTATTTCTCCATCTTCTCATACTCCTTCCTGATGTTGCTGTCACTTGAGACTGCTACATCTCTCACCATCACTGTGTTCTGGTCATCTACTACGATGATGCCTGATGCCTGTCTATTTGGATCTGGAAATCCCGCAGGATCTTAGCTCTCATATTGTTGCCAACCTTCTATGGAATCTCCCATCTGTATTTGTGAAGGCCTAGCCCATACCTTATGCAGTTGTTCCTGTACACAGTACAGTATCAGTTACTTGGTTGTACTGTTAGTGTATGCTGTTCCTGCCTGCTGCCACCATGTGTTGGACTGTCTCTGAGGCCTCTCTGCATAGTCTGCCTCTTGGGTTCTGTCTAGCGTGGTAGGCCTCTGCTTTTGTGGATCTGGTGCTTAATGCCTGTTCTGCTGCTATGATCAGTTCTTTAGTGATGTGTTTTAATTTAGCCCTTTCCTGTCACTGGTAGGATTTCCCAGAGTCTGGCAACTCAGCTATCTGTCGATAGTACATCTCATCGGGATCACTTTTGTCATGGCTATTCCTCTGCTTGATCTCATTCTGTATGTGTGAGTGGGTATAACATTTGTATATATTTAGCATAACATTATTTCACCCAGAAGACAACAATAAAACAATGCAGGACTTTAAAGCATGCCTGTCTTTCATCTAGAAGTCAACACAATTTAAAAATAGACTAAAGGAATAATGTAATGCTTATCTAAGTACTTACTGTAATACATGTAATTCATTGTCATGTGCTTAAGGCAATTTATAGTGTAATCCTCTTCGTTCTTGCAATAACCTTATAAAGTAGATTATGGTAAGAGACAGTGATGGCTCTCAGTGAGCCTAATGGCTGAATGGAGTTTAATTTGTATGGTCCTAGATTGGTACTTAGACCACTTTGGTCAGTTGCTAGAATTGATATAGCAAACTAAATAATGCACAAAATGATAAATATGGTTTAGACTGCAAATTTATTTTGTGGCATTGATTTGGTTCTTATTATAGAAGGAAGGTTGCAAGTCAAAGATGTGGCAGGAAACCAGAAAAATAAATGGTAGTGGTGAAAATTTATTCATCTTGGCTGCCGCAATAGATACAAAACTATTGTCTTTCCTCCTCCTCCTCATTTTGCATTGCATCTACTATCATTTATAACTTATAATCATGGCAGCCATATGGATTTAAAAAATCCTTGTGCGATAACATTTTTATAGGAATGTACAATTTATTTATTCAGTGGCCTGCTGCATTCAATAATTACTGGGAAACATAATGATAAAATATTCTTGTTTTAGACCAGGCATGTCAAACTGCCGGCCCGCAGGCTTGGATGCATCATGTCGAAGCCGCGCCCACCCCATTGCTGGCAATGGGGAAAAAGTCACGATATGTCGCGCAACGTCACGTGACGTCCTGAGTTTGATATGCCTTTTTTAGACAACTGAAGTTTAATTTGGCAATTTATATGAATAATTGATTCCTGATTCAGTTACTCATAACTGTAGCTTTCATATTTTTAAAAGATAAATATGAAAACCAAATACAGAAGCATTCCTGTCTAACCAAGAACTGTGGCATGGCAGAGAAATAGCATTGATGGACTTTCTGAAGTAGACTGTGTAAACACTACCGAACAGACTATAAACTGAGAAACACTTCAGTAATAGAAAATCTATTTATAATCATCTCTACTGAGAATTTGGCAAGGACTTTCTGAGTATGGGCATTATTGGAGAACAGAAAGAGGCTTGGACAGGATCTGAATGCTTCGGCATTAGGCATATGCATCTGGTGGTTTGCCCTAGCAAGGTAGAACCATGATTAAAGAGTCTCTCGGTCTTCTTAACCACCACCACCACCCACTTAGTCCAGAGACATGAGAGAGATTTGGCATGGCCCTTAGCAGGTGGGGAGCCTAGCTGACCTTCACTGATATCGAAGGCCCAAATAAAAAAGGTTGCATTTCTCTGCTGATTGTATACGAGACCACAAGGACACTTCAGGGCTTCAGTCTGGGAAGTTGAGAAAAATACCCTGGGAGAAGGCAGTAGAAAACTTGCCAATCAGCAGAGAAATTAGCAATGAAAATTTATAAAGTCACCATAAACTGAGCTCAACTCAAAAGCGAGTGTTTGTTTATATGCCGTTCATCTAATGGTGTGTTTTTTATATGAAAGAAGGCTAGCAGTAGATCATGATTAGGATATGGTTGATTCTTAGTTTACTTTCTCTTCTTCCAAGGTTCTAATGCCTGCTTTTAAAACCATCCTTGCTTTCCATTTTTCAATCAGCAGCACTTGGAGTTTTGCAAAATTCAGACTATTTGCCACTAGTTTAATTGAGAAATAGCAAATAAGTACTATAAACACTTAAGCAAATAGAATTGTTTGCATAATTCCAGGATTGGAAATTAGGAGTTCTCACAAATCAGGAATACAAGCGAGTAGGTGTTTCAGTTTGATTATTAGAAATGAAAGAATTGATTTACTCTTACATATATTAGATAGAAAGCCTGATAATATTACAATTATTAGAACTGGGGAATGATATTTAATGTGTCTTGTCTACCCTTAAATACTCACTGAGCCATTTACCAGGCTTGTCCAAGCTGCTTTCTTGCTGCTGCATATGCCTTTCATACTGGAACAGTATAACAGAATTCAGAAGAGTTTATTTTTGTTGAATGCTTGGACCATTCTTGGTTAAACTAAGGCACACAATTATGTATTCATAGTAAACAGTATCTTTGACAAGTAAATTTTCAAACGAAGAACACTGTAATTAAGAAATCAACATCAGGGTTCTGTTCTTGGACCATAGCTGGCACATAATTGGTTCTGAGGAATAACTGATATGGAGTAGAAATAGAAATGCCATCGATCCACCTGTCCCATTTCTTCCCTTCAGAAGCTCAAAGTTAGGTGAATAGCATTCTCTTCCACATTTCCCCCACCATTATATGCTTCATTGTACATAGAATAATTTGATCGTCCATGACTGAGAGGGAATTTCAACCTTGGTCTCAAGTATCTTAAAGACAGCACTATTCACCTTTGGCATTGCTGACCATTTCTTCATGTTTTGAGTAGGTTTTTTTTTAATTGCAAGTGATTGCATTCATGGTATCTTTTAAAAAAATGTTTTATTGATTTTTTAACATAATCACCTTAATATTTGGTAAACAGCGTGTTGTTTGGGGTTATATTTAAAAACAATCAATAACAATTAGTTTCTATAATTCTATAGTCCACATAATACCTTTCATGGTATCTTTTTTTTAGTACTGTAGGCCACGTGTGCCTAATAGAAACAAAAGAGATCAGTGAAAAAAGTAGAATTAATTTCTTGCCACATATTTGGTCCTTACTCAAGCAGATGGATTTATTTTAAATCCTTCAAGCAAATGAAAATTGGAAATGCTGGTTGGAAAAATGCAATCAAAGAATAAAGGGTTGCTCTGTCTTTCAAGTCTAACAATAGTGGGCATCCGTATCAGCAAAAGTTGGAAATCAGGTAATAATAGAACTTCAGTGGTTTTGTTTTGAAACTTTGGTATTCTTATAATGAGGCCCTGCCTTTTTGAAGTTCTGTCTACACAGGATATCAAATGTTGCACTATTTTAATTCAACTATCTGGAAGTAGATGAGCTTAATTCATCAAGGAACAGTAGAAAAAGATGCTAGGTTACATCTAGAATGTCGTCCCCCTTCCGCTGCCTTATTCCTGCCTGCTGGAATCCTTTCAAAGGTTAATATACAACCAGGATGTTTTCCTGTAATTTTTCCAAACATGGTGAGATCTACACTTGAAGCACCACAACAGAAAAAAAGAATATTGATTTGCTAATTGACAGAATAAATATTCTCTAATAATTGCTTCTGAGTTTAATTAAGTCAGCAAGTTGGGGGAAGGCCTTTCTTATACTAGTCTTAAAAGGAATAGTTATTCTCCAGCAGAAGCTTATAAATATTGGCTTGGCTCACTAACAGCATTCTTTGTGATTGTCACCAATCCTCTTTTCTCTTGTGTCCTCAATCATGCACAGTGGACTTTGGAAAAAGGCAGGATCATCTTTCATTTATGCAGGGCTTTAAGAAGATAAGATTAAAAGCCAGCCCTGCTGCCGTTCAGTTTGTTTCTTGCTTGGAAATCATCATGGAAGTAGAACATAAAAACAGAATTTAATGCACCCATCCCAAGGAGCTGGTGAATGCATTTGTGGATTCTTGTTGCTCAACCTGTGGTTCGTGATCCATCTAGTGATCAGAGTAGAATTGAGATTTACATGAGTATCTCTGTATATTGCTTAAAAGAATGTACTATAATGGTATAAAGTGGATCTAGGACAAAATGTTGAAGTGTGAAACTTTTTTTATGTGGGATTGCTAACATTCATATTTAGTTGAAACTTTTTCTGATACGACTTACAGTGGGATAGTTATGATACTAATCTGATCTGTCAAGTGGAAAAATGGATTTTATGAGAAATGTTGCATTCTTCCCTTCAGTTTTATTTTCCAAATGGTATAATGTTTTAATTTGAAGTACTGCTATTCAGAATATCACAGGCCTTTTTCAAAATTCAGTTATTAATTTATTATTTGAGGACCCAAGTTTCAGAATGATTTAAGCCAATTCTTCCCCCCCCCCCCGCACACACACACATCTACAGGAATGCTGTGTAGAGTTACTGTATGTGGCTTAAAATACATGTTAAATTTCTCAAAGACTTCACTCTGCCAAGCTACCCAAACTGAAAAAGGTTGAATATTTTTAGGCCTTATGGGACTGTGACACTGAAAGAAACAAGGAAAATGTTTCCGCCAGGAAAAAATGTTTTGGGTCCTATGGTAGTGATTGTTTCATTTTTCTCTCTAAAGAGTAATCTTTCATCTTGTGCAGAGTAGGTGAGGTGGAGGAGAATCCCTCCTGCAGACTTGCTGTTCTGTGGCTGAGCTTAATTCTCTGTCCTTGGTCGGCATGCAGGGCACCAGCCCACATTTTTTCCCATATACTGAAGTCTTGTACAAGGGTTTATTTAATAATATTGCATGGAGAAAGTAAGTAAAGCTAAACTGAATGCCCGTTCATTTTGATTTGAACCACAAATTAACTCAAGGCTTTGCTTCTGAGTCAGACTCAAAAAACTACTGGCTTTTCTATTTGAGAGAGGACCTAGAAAGTAATCCATGCATATGCAAAGTGTTTTGGCCTCAGTGAAGTGTAGGAACCTAATAACAACAGTGATGGTGGCTATATTAAATTATTGGTTATTTTTTTAAAACTGAGAATAGGACAGATTGATGGGATAAATTAAAATAGCCCTGTATGATCATGCTAATGATCTAATTAAACAAAGTTCATTAAAATAGGTAGAACATTATACTATATACATAAATGTTAACAAATGTCCTAAATAATTACTCGTTTAAATGGGATCATTTGTCGGCCGTGACCAGGGGGGCGTTTTATCAGGTCCGCCTGATCCACCAGTTGCGACCTTTTCTGGACCGGGACGCCTTGCGCACGGTCACTCACGCTCTCGTCACCTCTCGCCTGGACTACTGTAATGCTCTCTACATGGGGCTCCCTCTGAGGAGCACCCGGAGACTTCAACTGGTCCAGAATGCGGCCGCGCNGATTTTAGGTAGGGATGATTTTAAGAAAATTTTAATTGACACACAGCTTCTAATATTTGGCTTTTAATTTGGTTTTATGGGGGTTTTTTGTTCTTTGATGTATTTTGTTTGTCTGTTTTAATATGCTGTGCACCGCCCTGAGTCCTACGGGAGAAGGGCGGTATATAAATTAAATTATTAAATTAAATTAAATTAAATAATGCACATTTCCTAAATCAGATTTTTTTGTGCAACAGGAAATTGGTTGTAGATTAGTACACATATTGAGAGAACTTTTCATGAAAATCAGATTGTAGAAAACAGAATATGATAGAAAGTAGAACAGAATTCTTTCCCATAAACTTCTATTTTTCTGCCACAAAGCATAATTAGCTCTCTAATATTGGGGAGTAAATATTTAAATAAATGAAAGATTGAATCAAAGGTATTCGGTAATGCTTTTAACTGTTAGACAGCATTTTTTGCTTTTATTTTGATGCAAAAATATGTATCTTTGTTCTTCTATAGGCTTAAAATATGCATGTCTGTTAACAATTCTGGTTTTATATATGGGAGACTAATGACCTCTGACATTATTGCCTTTATTTATGTTTTGTTATTAAATAGTAGTGAGCATTTTCTTTGAATCATAAATGCCTCTATTTCTTGTTTGCAGAATCAGTCTATGATCTCCTCCCTAAGGAGCTGCAGCTGCCACCTTCCAGAGAACTCTCAATAGCATCCATGAGTCAAACAAGTGGGGGAGAAGTGGGTTCGCCCCCCCCAGGCATAGTTGCTGCTGGTAAGTACTTCCTTTGGCTTAGATTAAGATTTTAATACCTATGAATATTGTTGAACACATGAGCAGTGCTGGAAAAGTTTGCAGATATATATATAAAAAAATAGAAGCAGCACTGGAGATGTTATTGCCCACTATATCTTCTGCTTCAATTCTTGCACGCATTTTTTAAAATGTGATAATTGCTAAATTATAATTGAGATGGAGTGTTAAATATACCTCCATTTTTGTTAGAGAAGAATTACAGAGAATCAAAGTACTAGCTTTAATTAAATCATATTCCTTATAATTTGAACATTTAGTTATTTCGGAGGTATATGAAGGGACATCAGCTAAATAGAATTTAAAATTACCATAAATTAAAATAAGCTGAATTTTTTTTTGAAAGAGTCTCCTAATTAATGTAGGTTTTAAAGTTTTTTCTCCTATTTTTGTCTTTATTTTATATTATATGAGAGACTGTTGGAGGAAGTTACCTGGTGTAAGGCTGTCTTGGATAGTTTTTATCTTGGAATCATATATATTTGGAGTAGACCCTTTTTCATAGTTCTATTCCAGATTCTCTCCACAAAGCTGTTGCCAGGATTTGGAAACAGGCTGCTTGATTTTTGAAAGGATAAGAGTTGAGCCAGGGTAAACACTTTGCAGCACTGCTCACTATTAATGTATTTGAATTTTTTTCCTCATGAAATCTGTGGATTTAAGTGTAGATCAGGAAAACTAGTCATTAAATTCAAAGAAAATTTCAGCTAAAAAAGTCCTGAAGCATACTTTCCTTTGATCTATAAAGCTAATTAGTTAAAGAGAAAAACAGCTGCAAGAACTTTGGAAAATGCTAGCATTTTAAACCCACAGATCTTTAATGTTTTTCATGTTTGAGCTCATCTTCAAGCATTTGAAAAATTGGCTTAGGAGAACTAGTTGTCTGTTACTTGTCAGCTTTGGTTGTCTGAGTCAGTCCAATTCCTTTCAAAAACTGAACATGTGAGTTTGTTCTAAAGAAAACTAATATGCAGTGGTAGATTCTCTTGTGTTACTCCACACATTGAACAACAAAGTCTTTCTAAAGACATGTAGTAGCAGAGTAGAACATAGTTGTGTATGTAATAGAGAGATTTTTCAGTACTAGTTTCCAGATAGTTGGCAGACAAGCAATGTTATTCAGTATATATTGGTTAAATTATTTGACTAAGTGGTAGCTTGTATTTAATACCTTTATTATGCTCCCTAAAATATGGGATTTAGTAGTAATAATCTTGGTCTGCTTTTTAAAGAAAGATAATATATTTATATAGCAGAGCTAAACATAGGAAGGTTTAATTCCAAATGTTTTATGCAGTGGAAAATTAATTTGCCCACAAGGCTGGCTTAAAAATTGCAACCTTGTCCTGCAAAGTAGAATGAGTACAGATGATAAAGGATGAAAACTGGAGAACAAGAGAAATCTCCTATGATGCATACCAAGACTTTTTTTTAAAAAAAGTGGGGAGAGTTACAATCATTTAAAAACAAAGAATAAACTGTACCTTGTGTGTGATAGGATCAGGACCAATAAAGCATATCTTTAAACGTTCAACTAACATTTGAATACTGTCTACACTAATGACAGTCGTCTTTACATTCATTTTGGTTACATACAGAGTTCTCCATTCTGAATCAGTTTTACTGGTGTCATTGACAGATGAAGCAGTGAGGGCTGATGAGAACTATTTTCTTTATTTAAGACTTAGCTTCTTTTGTTCTCTGCTTCCCTAGCCATAAGGTGAGCCAATATCTGGTGGCCCCAAGTCTCTTTCATTACTTTAAAATCAGGGGTTCTGAAACACATTAACAGGTTACATAAAAATCTGCATCAGTAAACTTCTGATTTCTTGAGGAACAGGATTGGCTGAGCTCAGGCATGAGGCCCTGCAAGAACAAACTGCTAGTTCTGCTACTATTGATTGGCTTTTAATTTGCAAATCCATCTAAACCAGTTTAAAGCTAAGACATGGAAATTAACCTGTCAAGAGCACATTTAATTGTTTTAGCATAAGAGGAATGCTTCATGTTCATCATTCCAGATGTAAGGTGGCTCCTTTATCAACGATCAACTATCAGTTGACAGCTGTCTTTACATGTTAAGCTCTAAAGAGATGCCTCTGTCGCAAAGCCAGAGATCCATCAATAACCGTAAAGGAGCATACATTGATATTGGATGCACTACACGATATGGGACCAGTGTGAAACTAGAGAATGATCCCTGCTCTCCATCTCTGAGAAACAGAAGGAGAAGAGGAGGAACCCGTGTTAGTTTATGCCTAAAGGCCAGGAGGAAATGCTTGGATATCATGGGGCAGCCATGGCCCTGGCCAGTTCTTCTCCTGTCACTTTACCAGCAAGTGTGTGAAGAACTGGCGCACCAGTTCAGATTCTAGTATGTATAAAAATAATCTAAATAAATCTCTACTGGCTAATCAACATATATGAAAGAAATGTAAAACAGAATAATCCCTGGCTAACCTGAAAAAAAATCATTCTTGAGTCCATAAAGAGATAGGTGGCTGGAGTATTCAGTAAAGAAAGGGAAGATCCATCACTCTGGGTTGAAGATGCAAGATGGGCTTCCTGATAAACTCCTCAAAAATTGTGGTAGCACAGATTCTGCTTTCTAGGCTGCTTTTCAGTTCTTATATTAAATGCAAATTAAAAAGTAGATGCCTTTGAGTTAATTTTGATTTAGGAAGATTCCACGGACACATCTAGATAGTTTACCTGATGTGAACATGAAAGAAATTGCAATCTTGGATTGTTTTAACTTCTCAGTTTAACTTGCAACTCTGATGTTTTCTGGCATCCTCTATCTAAATATTAACCAGGCTTAGCTTTGCTTACTTTTGAGCTCAAGTGGTCAGAGTGGAGCCATTGAAATCACAATGATTTATTTGTTACATTTATTTGCCGCCTATCTCGTCATGAGGCTGCTCTAGGCGGGGGAATATCATGTAGCTTATGTTTGCTTCAGTCCCATGGATTTTACCCCTTAAACTCTAAACAATCCTAAACCACGATGCAATATAGTATTCTGCTTCTTCTTAGCATAGGCCAGGTTAGCATGTCTGTGACAAGAAGTATGCGGGTATAATTGTAATTTTTTAAAACATTTGCCCAAAGTTGCTGGGGTTGTGCATTTATTTAATAATAAAAATTGAATTGAAGTATATTTTTTACATAGATGCCAAGTAATATCCCGAATGAGTTCTGCAAATTTCTCATTCTAATAGTGTTTCAAAAATTGGAAAAGCATGGTTTGAAAGAGGAGAAAGTAAGTGAATCGCTTGATGGTGAGATAGGTGGTATATTAACTAAATAATGAATAAATAGAAAAATAAAAGATCAAGCACAACTTCCTCTAAGTGATTTGATTTGTGTTGGAAATAAGAGTTCATGATGGATAAAGAGATACCAGGCCTGCTCCTCTCCCCAATGCCTGATGAGTAAAACCAGTTGCCAGGGCTCATGACACGCAGGGGCTCTTCCTGGAGAGGGTTAGAGAAGGGGCTTCTGTCCTTCAGGAATGATTTCCCTGAGCTCCAGAACTAAACATTTTTGTTGCTATAGGAGCTGATATTTGGATAAATATTAGCTATCAGGCTGCACTGGATTGAGTAGCAGTTGCATTGTTTTATTAATGCTTACAATAAGTATGCTAAGGATAAAGCTGCCTTTACAAACATCCGAAAAATGGGGGGGGGATAAGTGTTTCTGTTCCTGAGGTAAAATTCAGTAAACTAAGAATAGCACGGGGGTGGGGGGATTGGGGGCGGAGAAGGCAAGTACTTGCCCTCTCAATATCCGCAAGGCATAATGGCAGCTTCCCAGAGCTCTGCATCAAACAGGGCTGAATACTAGTCTGCTGGTTGACTGCATCTAATTATCATTTTTGATTGTCAGACTTTCTAGTCTGAATTGATGAACATGAACATCCAGTTAAAGTTGCAGGTAAGAAATAACAACTTGTGTTATTCTGTGTGTCAAAACAGATTGGATTCTGATTTGATTTTTAAAATGCTGTTACGGCATGTAAATGTAATGGGAAATTTTAAACTATTTGGGCTATAATATAAGTGACCAATCTATTCTGAATCTGCATTGAATGTTTAAAGTCAATGGGGTTGCTTTTTGCTATTGCTGGGATGCTAGTTGTTTTCTCTATTAATCCCCTTAACTTGCATTCTAGCTCCGCCATTCAGAGACAGGCATCGGTGGTGGGTTGTGTGCTCTCAGTAGTGAAGACAGATAGTACCAGAGACCCTTAACCCATCCAATCTCACCCAGGGTGTCTAGGTCGGTCTCGTTTCAGACTTCTTCATCAGTCTTTCTCCTTTCCTTTTTACTTTGTTTTATAAATAGTGGATTGCCTTAAGTTAACCTCTAATAAAGCTTTTGACATTGTATCCATAAATGAAGCTGGAGAAGATTAGTAAGCCAAAGTTGGCATGAAGGTATGGAAGCAGATTTGCAGCCACTTTGTCTGTGACTTTGACAATACAAGGTCTGGTGTCCCTCTGTCTTTACTTCAGAACTTCTAACTTTTTCTTTACTGACTCTGGAAAGTCCACTCGGCCAGTAATGGGGAAGAATTGTAGCCATCAAAAATAAATAAATCAAGATTCCTAAAGGTTACTTGTATGGGGGATTACCTTTGGAATGAATCTGCCCTAACCCCTGTTTTAGGGGATGCTCACATTTTCTCTTCGGTCTCCTGAACAGTGAAGAGTATGTGGCAAATGTCTGCCGTGCTTCATTCATTGGCTGCTTGTGCACCTATTGTTTTGCATGGGAATGCTCAGAAGGACACCTGAGACACTGGGCCCTGCCATCCTTCTACTTTGGGAAAATGCAGTTACAATATCTTCTTATTGCTAGGCTTGTGCTTAGCTTCTTGAAAAACCTTGTGCCTCTGAAGGCCTCCCTCTCAGAGTGCCCTGAACTCTCTCAAAGAATGAAATGCTAATGCAGTAAACAAATACTTTAAGCTTTGCCTAAAGGTAGCCATTTTTTTCTGTGCCTACCAAAGAGCCTATGAAGGAGAGAAGATTTTTATAAACGTAAGACTTCCAAGAGGGAAGAAGACTATTTCACTTTATCTAGCAACTTGAGCAGCAGTTGCCAGCTTCTCTGCTTCTGATTCTTGTGCTCTTAAGATCTCAGTCTCATTGCTATAAAAATGCACTGGGCATTTTTGGAAGGCAGTGAGTGTATCTGTGGACAAGGCTCAATACTGTTTGGAAGTCGTTCTGGTTCTATAATTGTAACACAGAACAGGGAAGATGCTTTTTGTATGGTACTATGCTGTTTTGTTTTGCTGTCTGCTTGCCTAGAGGCAAAATAATAATCTGAACAATGCTACTAAAATTGCAGACTTTACTGTGCCTTTTTAAACTATATGGTTGTTTCAATTACAGAATGGATAGTGTGAGAGTACCAAAATCTTTCAGTAGGATAATTGGAGGATTTAATTATAAAAAGTTAACCATCTTATTGCCACATCATGGTGATGCTCATAAAAATATTTGGCACATGATTATAATTGTAAAAAAGGGTTATCTTTGTTGATACGTAATCTCACATTTCACAGAATGCATAAAATTAGCCTGTCCAGCTTCAGTTTTATTAATAATGCAGTTTTGATCTTAGAAATTAACTTATATCCTAGAAATAATACTAAACATTGGAGTGCCCTGTATACATCTGTATTTTAATAGTGTGAAATGAGATTTCTGATAACCTTTTTCCCAGATCCAGACAGTTTTTGGTCACAATTCTTCATGAATGTCAGTTTTGAAGAGACATTTTGACTGTCCTGATTTGGGATTAATTTGTTTTTGAAGCTACTTCAGCCTCAACTGATCAATCAAGGTTTTGCTATTACATATTAAACATGAATTCACATAACATCCTATATTTCTGCCATATGAAAAGTGAGCATTCATTCTTTGCTGGGGTGTGTCCAGTACCTTAAAATAAAGTCTCCGTGCAAACCTCAAACACAGCAGTACGATGCCAGTCCTGGGTTACGCTCTTTTCTGCTTAGTCCCTGTACAGGTAGTCCTTGACTTACAGCCACAGTTGGGACTGGAACACATCTATTGTTCAGCAATGTAGTCATTGTGTGAGTCATCCTGATTTTGCAACCTTTTTTGCATTAAGTGAATCTGGCTTCCCCCATTGAGTTTGCTTAAAACCTTGAAAGGTTTCAAATAGCAACTATGGTTCCGGGACTTTGCAACTCTTATAAATGCATGCCAATTGCCAAGCAGCCAAATTTTGATCATGTGACCGCAGAGATGCTGCAATAATTGTAAGTGCAAGGACCGGTCATAAGTCACTTCTTCAGAGCTTTTGTAACTTCAGATGGTCATTACACAAATGGCTATAAGCTGAGGACTATTTGCATCTTGTAATTACTGAGCTTAATTGAAGCAACTAAACTTGCTCATTTTTTAAAGCTTTGAAAGCCTCTAATTTATATCTTGACCCAGTTTATTATGAAAATCAAGCAGTTTGTTTTATTTGCCCTGATCTACCCAAATTGCAACCTGAAGCACAGGGCTAACAAAATTTTACAAAAGCAAAGCTGGCTCTCTTGATTTCCTTTGTGTATAAGCAAAGTCATTTTTTTCCTTTTCAAATATCATGTAAAATAATATTTTGGAGGAGTTACTATTTATTTGTAAATATGCTTCTCACTTTGTGTTAATATTGTTTAATAAAATCTAATAATCATTGTGTTTCTTGGAAAGATTTTTATTTTCACGTGAATTCCCTCTGCAGGGGATTAATCTGGCATAATAGTGCCAGTGTGAATTTGGGTGATTGTGCTAATTCCCTTTTTAAGTAGGGAAATGGGTCATTCTTTTCCAGAGGTGACAGTCTTTATCTCACTTAACCCACAGATAAAAATGGATGCTAAGCTAACAGACTGGTCAAAACGCCCCAGTCAGTGTTTTGAACAGTTTACATCAGAGATGAGTTGGTTTTCCTACTGACTCTTATCTTATGTAAAAATTCAAAGATTGTCACATTTTGCATGGGTTTTACAACTTGTAGAAAGTATTGTTTATGCCAATGTAAGTTTACAGCATTCTTTCTGCATATATTTTATAATTCACACAGAATATCTAATCAAAGCAAGCTGCATAGCTGAGTGAGTGAATATTTAAAATATACATTTGCTCTGTTTTAACAAAGATCACTTTAGAAATGTCAATTTACTCTAACTCAAAAGTGGCTGCAAATCAGCAATTATAGTCACTGAAACAAATTTTAATTTTTTTTAAGGAAAGCACTGCATTAATGCATGATATAAAAGGATTTTTTATAATTAAAATGCAGTTTTGAATGACTGAATTTATCAATTTCAACCACTGCATTTGTTGAGGCACAAGCTGGAAAATGGAACTGGTATCAATCAGTGCTCTAGATTATTTCAGCAATTGTCTGGCAATGGAATGAGGAATTCTGAGGGAATACCTCACAGATAAAGGTTCCTCTGAATTATAGCTAAAGTAGAAGATTGATTACGATTCACTCTTAATCTGTAGTCAATTTTTTGATGATGTACTAGTATTTTCACTTAGCCCAAACTAACCACAAAGATAGATAGCCAAGCTAATTATTTTCTGAATTATTTTCTTTTTAAAAAAGATTGTAATACTTTAAAATAATCACACTGAAAGCTGAGTATATGCACCACACTTATTCCATTTGAGGCCAGTGGCTCATAAAAAAGTATTCTTTTGCATTAAGAAAAATATTGCCCTAGAGAAAATACTGCTCTCAAATTCAATGCTTCTGCAATTTATTTGATTTTGTGAGACAAGTTCACATCCCAAGTTAAGCTTTGTTTTGGTTCTTGATTTCACAGCATTCTGGAGCATCTCCAGAGATGTTCCAGAGCCCATTTAACTTCAGCAGTTACCTTGGCTGTGGCAGGGAGCTCTGCCTACCCCTCTCCCCCCCCCCCAAAAAAAAAGCACTGGGTCTTTCACCTGAGGAGGGAGCCGAACCAGCTTCTCTCATCTTGCTATTCAGGACCAGGGCACCCTCCAAGTTAAAACCTTAGCCAGTGCTTTTTTGTGGGGGGGGGGGGAAATTCATAAATGACAGTTGGTACCAGTTCCATTTGTTGCTGTTCAGTTATTTTATATTTCATTTCTCATTTGATAATTGATATCTGGAATAATCAGTAGCTCTATTCTCATTTTTTTCTCATATTTTTATTCCAGGATTTGCCTCTGAAGCAGGGAGTGTCTGCATTAAAAATGACCTGTAGTTCTCTGCTTCATAGGTTAGAAACTTATTTTAATACTTCATGGCTAAGCACAGTCCCAGGTTTTTGAACATTTCAGATGCTGAGCAATTGGCAATAATGTGGTTTAAAATGCACATTCCTGGGGGTTTCTATCATTTTTGATAAAATGGCTTAAATTCATAGTCCAGATGAGGCAATGAAAGCACCTTTGTTTGCTTGCAACCATTTTGTGACTTACAGATTTTCTGAAAAGTCTCATTGCTACTATGCATTAAAATGAGAAATATAATTTGGCTATCTTTTCTGAATATTTACGTGTTGCTTAAGCCTTATATTACTTGAAGCGCTTAAATTCCAAAACAAGCCAAATTCTAAAATGTTAATTTGGGGAAAGAATCGGTTCACCAAATCACGCTACTTCAAAGGGACTGCTATAGCCAGCAGAGTTGGGATTAGGGACCCTGTATTGACTTGTGGATTATACACCACAGATGCTTCTTCAGCTCCCTCTTCCTCCGTGGGCGGTGCTTGCAGCTCCTTTACCACCACTTCCGGCCCCACCATTTACTCTACCTCAGTCACTGACAGCAAAGCTATGCAAGTGGAGGGCTGCTCCTCAGCCATGGGGGTAAGTAACCGTGGGGTAAGTGACAAGCAGTTAACCAATAACACAGTCCAGCAGCCACCACAGTCCACCCCGAAGAGGCACACAGTCCTGTACATCTCACCACCACCAGAGGATTTGCTGGACAACAGCCAGATGTCTTGCCAGGATGAGGGGTGCGGATTGGAGTCTGAGCAAAGCTGCAGTATGTGGATGGAAGACTCCCCCTCTAACTTCAGTAACATGAGTACCAGTTCCTACAATGATAACACTGAGGTGCCACGTAAATCTCGTAAACGAAATCCAAAGCAGAGGCCAGGGATCAAACCACGAGATTGTGAAGAATCGACCATGGATATCTTTGATGCTGACAGTGCCAAAGCGCCTCATTATGTCCTTTCTCAACTCGGCACGGAGAGCAAAAGCAACTTGAAAGCAGGAAATGGGTTGGTATCTGCCTTTATGTTCTATCAACATATGTTAAAGCAGACAAATAAAGTAAAAATATAACCTTGATTTTTCTCTAGAGTTCAGCTCATATTTTCACTGAGAAGGATGGGAGAGCTGATATTTTGAATCACATTTAATAGTTTCTTATGCTAAATGTTTTTGGCCAGTTTAGCAATCATTGAACAGGAACAGTTGTCAGCTTTTCCTTGTGGAACTTGATTAGTGTGTGGCAAGTTTTTCAGTAAGAAACAGTTTAAAACAGAGTCCTTAAAGTTGGAATCAGCTCCTGCATATTTTCTGCAACAGAGATAATTGTGGGGACTTAAGTCCATACTTCACTTGCTTCTGTTTCACTCTCTGCCTCAATTAAAGGCAGCTGATTTTGACCTTTCATATTCTTTCTAAAATGTTAAGATGAACCAAATTTGTGTTTGTGTCATCTCAGTTCTGTAATTGATCTTTCAGAAATAAATCTCTATCCTGTTTTGCTCTGTGCTTCTCAGTTGTGTGTATGTGTATGCGTAAATGTTGCCTGCAGCCTGCTTGGGTGGTGGTTTCTCATCTCTTCATTTAATTGGATCTCGATTTAGAAACTCTGGTTTGCATCCCACTTCATCAGTGGAAAGTGCACATGTGTATTATGGCAGGGAATTGTTGATTTTCTACCCAATGGTAGTCGTCGCCTTCCTTTGGAATCCAGAGGATCACAAGATCCTCAGTGTTGGCCATGGGCAAGATGAGGTGCATTTGCCTGAGAAATCAGTGACCCCTGTTGTAGCCTATCGTATTGTGTAGAAGTCTCTAAGTGACACTTGTAAAGAATTCTAGTTTTCCTGGGAACAGGCAGCACCCTGGGGCGCCATTTTGTTTGGTGCCTCATGTCGGCCAATAAACGTGGAAAGCTCTGTTTATAATTTATGTGTATTCAGGAATCTAGCCTGTTCAGTTCTTTGCAAGCCAGTGTTACATGCTTAGGTCAAATCATGGCTTCTTGCTCTGAATTTTAACAAGGTGGACAAGCATAGATTTGCATTTAAGAAGAGGGAAGCCATTGGCTGGATGGTCAGGGCTTGTTATCTGTGCCAGTGGCAAGAGGAGCAGTTGGGCCATGGTGTCGTATATGGTTCCTCCTACATCAGAATTTTTACCACTCTGACTTACTGCATGCGAATGTGGACACAAAGTCATGCAGAGAAATCTTTTGAGTTTCTTGCCTCCTTCTTTGAAGGACTTCTCTTGTTTCTTACAGAAAAGTCTATTTCATGTTGTCCTTGAGTCACAAAATATTGAATTGAAAAGGATTTGCCATGTAAAGGAAACGCCATCTTGCTTTGCCTTCCCTGTTGTCTGGTTTCATACTTGAAATACCACTTGGAAGAGATAGATCATAAGAGACTTTCCAGAGTGAGGTTTGCTACTAAACAGCTTTCCAGGATATGATTGTGGAGGCCTTATTATACAATGTGGCCCATAGTCTTATATGACCTGTTCTCCTCACACAAAATTTATAAAAGCCCTGCGAGGACAACATTAAAGTGAAAACTGCTGGTTCTGCAGATATCCACATTATCAAAAGTCTTCTTCAGAATATATTAAAAGAGGCCATTAGAAGGGATGATTCTTCAAAAAATAAGGTCATATTCTGAAAATTAACACTTTAGTCCTATGAATGTCAACTTAGAAATCAGCCCATTGAATTGATGCTGTTGACTATTTTTGTAGAATAAATACAAGGAGTCAGTGTTGTGGATTTTTTTTCAGAACTGAATGCACTTCAGCTGCTAAATAACTACTAAAATATAGTAATGGGTTAATTAAAACAAAATGCCTTCCTATCATAGAGATTCAGAGGCTGCGTTATACTATGTTAAGTTGTGCAACGCTTCCGTATTTGAAAGGGGAAATGTGGTTGGGCATGCACTAATTGCTTTAAATGTGCCTTTCCCCAGGACTGCACTCTGGTGTGCACACTCCGAATCACGGGTGTCACTTGTGTTCAAAGTGTTGCACAGCCCTGGTGTTTTCCAAGAACCCCTTGCCTAGGGGAATTAGGAATCGGTGCTTTTTTCAAGGGATATTTAATGAGTTTTGTGGTCAAGCAGCAGAATGAATCCTGGTATCCTGTAGTGCATATGAAATCTCTGGTAAATGAAACCTAATTGGAGAGGGGGGCTGATTCTTTACTGATTGCAGAGATGGGGATGATAAGCTATTCATAATCATGATCAATTTATCAATGTAATTATCTCAGAAGGCAAAAATGTGCAATACAATTCTGTAGAGCAGATTCTGGAGCCCTAATGCTGAGCTTCAAAGAATGCTCCTTTCATGCACATTTGGGTTTCTATTGTGTGTCAGAGTTCCTACTTCAGAGGACAGGTCCCCGAACCCTGGCTGGAGCCATCAAGAGGTTGGCGTTTGCAGCAGAGGGGCTGTTTGCACAACAAGGCCTTCCGGAGGTCAGATTTTGAATAATGCAGAGTTATGTTCTCTAAAGAAGGATGGCGGGAATTTATTTGTTACCCACTTCTAAAGCAATAAAAGCCAATGGAAAAAGTGGTGCCTATATCCTGTAGGCCGCTCTTATATATTTGCATATATTTTCATAAAATGGGAAAGTTTGTTGTTTTCAAAATGCAATTATTGTCTAAACCACTTTTAGAAATTAGAACCCTGTGCAACTGCTACTATGTAGCCTGTAGTAAACATTGAATATATTTGTTAAGCATTCTTATTGGAGACAATATAAGTTTTATTCATAAGTGCCCAAACAAAATAAGGCAGAATTTTGAGTTTAACAATATTGCATGCTATGCTTGAAACCTGGAAGTTGACTTGTAAAACATAATTTACTTCATAATACACATATTGTTCATGAAAGACTAGCTAGGAGGCTTAACAGCATATAACAGGAACACATTGCACAGATGTTTTGTAACATATCTCACCCAGTACTGGTTGTCTCTGGAACAGAAATACAAACATCAGTTTCTTGTATTTTGGATGCCTGATAGACCAAAGGTATCAGGCAGAAAAAAATAACAAAATGAGATGCTAGGATCCTACTCTAATTTAATGAAACATTGCACAAAAAGCCAGCTTAGATTTTCAGATCTGGTAGGATGCTTAGAGAAAAAAAGGCAGGGGACCAAATGGTATAAAATAACAAACCACTATCATCCACTTGGTCTAGAAGGGTCCTGCACAATCTATGGCCCACTTACAGGCTAGCAATTACTGTAACTCTGTTCCTGATCTTGAAGCTAGAAGTGTCGTGATAAAACATTTCTGCACTCGGGTGGCTGGTATACCTGGGCCCGAAACCTAGTTGAGAGAAGCTTTTCCTTCATTTTTACTGTCCCAGAAATTAGGGAAATAATGGGTCAGACCTGTTTGTGACATCCAAAGTCAGGCTGAATAGTTATTTTCATGGGTTCCTCCAGGGTTTATTCAAACAGGTTTCACTTATGGAACTCCCCTTGTGATGTAACCCTAGCCGGATCATTTTGCATTTATTTATTTCTTCCCATGGGGAGACAGGGCAGAGGCTCTAAAGCAAATAAACCACTCTGATCTGTTGCCATATTGCCTTTGCAAACTTGAACTCCTGCACGATCAGGAGCAAAGCAAGCCTGAAGCTTCATTCTAGATAATACAGAAATGCAGCATTTCACTTTGAATGCATGGTGTTACCAATGGGAACTAATTGCTATTTTGACTCATTTACTTCTGAAAAGTCTTATTTATGTTGCCAGTAGAAAAATAGGCATGTGATCAGTCTTCAAATAGCTCTGGAGAAGTGCATCAAATATAGTTTTTTTCAGCCTGGTAGCATGAACTCTTTCCATTAATATATTTGTTCTCAAGGAAAGAAAGAAATAATTGCAATCCAGCTTACTTAAATACCACAATGTCAGTTTCTCTCAATTTAAAATACATGGAAAATGCCATGTGAATGGGTCGACCTGATATATTAAAAAAATTCAGCAGCCTAAACGTCCACAGCCTAGATAGCTGTGTCACAGTCAGTGCAGTGCTGAAATTAATTATATTTTAATCTAACAACATTGGTTTGAAAATTTATTTAAACATATACTTACCTGAAGTATATAGCAATAGGGCCTAGGAAGCCTTTGGTCTAGAGGTGGTAAGGATTTGTTTTAACCAGGTGACATTTGTGAACATATGCTAGGTAAAATGTTCCAGGAACTGGCATTTCACACAAGGTGGTGAATTCAGGCAGATTGTTTAAATTGCTTATGGTTAAAATATAACTACATTTTGTCCTCTAATTACTAGTTAAAATACAGGTTTTTAGGTTTCTGGCTATATTTTAATTAAATGACACATTTTTTGTGAAAGGGAAGAAGAGAAATGGTGCAGGTCTGCATGTATGTCTCTGTGTCTCCTGGTTTCCTGGCCACTTTGCTTGTTTGGAAGGAAAGCTTTTGGTAACCTGTGTACTAATCTGCTTTAACACCTCAGAACCTCAGAAGTCCCCAAGGCGACTGGAGGGAAGAAGTGCCCTATGTTGTGTGGTCAGTACCTGAGTAAAAGTGAAGGCAAAGAGCTGAAGATCCTGGTACAGCCGGAGACTCAACACAGAGCTCGCTACCTCACTGAGGGCAGCCGAGGCTCAGTGAAAGACAGAACCCAGCAGGGATTCCCCACCATCAAGGTATGCCAGAAGGGGAGTGAGTGGCTAGAAGGCCTGGGGGCTGCCCTTCTTCCTGGCCTTACTGAGTTCCTGAGAGCAGGCTAGTCAGATTTCTCAGGATGAAAGATGTTACTAGAACTTAGGTAGACAGCCCTCCAATCCTCAGGTTTGTGGTTACGTTGTTGTTCCAGGCAAAGGAATGGATGTTTCTTGGTTTAAGACAGGGAAGCCTTTCTAGCTGGATGGAAGGTGTGTAAATATAGAGCAGGGGCTACTCTTGGCTCTTCGGGTTTAAATGACTGCACAGAGCACCATCTGTGTGGCCTGTCCTGAATAAGAGAGGGTTACTGTTGCTGATTTTTCACTTCAGTCTCCTAGAGAAATTGCAAACATGGATGAAAAAAAATATGTGATGTCCCTTAATTGGTTCCACATATTCATTGACTTTGCACAAACAATAGAGCAGAAAGTGCAGTGGCCCTCTGGAGTAACTGACTGAGAAATAGACACTTAAACAAGTTAGTTGTCTAGTAGTTTTTTCTCTGCAAAATGAAGATGTGTTTCATTTAATTACAAGCTAATATTTAGATCCCCTGGATATATGCACAGTTTCTAAAGAATAATATTAAATACTTGTGGTTTCTGACTTTATCATAAGCATTTTTCTACAAGAGAGTATATAATATATAAAAAGTCGACCCTGTCCAAAACAGACTTTTGAAAATGCTTCCTTTTCAGAAAGAACTTTTATATATGATCAAAATATGAATACAATAAAATCAACTTGAGGGCTTGATAGAATATAACTAAAAATATCAAGATGTTTAAAATTCAAAGAATTCATCTGTTCTGCTCAGTAGAGGAGGACTGTTAGTACCAGCCAGTGTTCGGTATTCAAAAAATGATTGTGCTTGCATTGTTGGCAGATTAATAGTGCTTCACATGGTCCATTAAGTCTTGATTTGTGTTTCCAGCTGGAAGGTCACAATGATCCTGTGACCTTACAGATATTTGTGGGTAATGACTCTGGCCGGGTGAAGCCCCATGGATTCTATCAGGCCTGCAGGGTCACAGGGCGGAACACCACACCCTGCAAAGAGGTGGACATCGAGGGCACCACGGTCATCGAAGTGGGCCTGGATCTGAGTAACAGCATGACCCTGGCGTGAGTCCCTTTTCATTGCCCTGCTGCTGCTTTTGTTTCCCTTGTTAGACTTCTATCCTGCCTCATCTCTGGGAACGGTTTCCGGGTGAAGAATGTCTTCATGAGAGCAAATCTGACATTGGGATTTTTATTTATTTACTAATAAGGTTTATTAGGCCACCCAACACAAACAGTATGACTCTGGGTGGTGTTAAACCCATTTTTGGGTAAAACTACATTTATTTGTAATACAGTGGAGTATGGAGGTTCTTTGGGAGGATTTCTCTCCCCTCTCAGGCTGCCATGTGAATCAGAAGGAAAGCATCTGGTCTCTCATCGTCAACCTGCAGTCGCTTCCTTGCTTTCTGGTTATGATTAATAGCTTTCCACTTTATCAGCAAAAGTGAACAACTCTTTTGATTATTACACACACATACACACACACACACACACAGGCGCTTTGGGTAATCTGTTTGTATTCTGATTGCTCTTGACAAAAATGCCTTCCCATGATCTCTTCTGAAATGACTTGAACTTCACAGGAGCAGTCTGTCTGTCCCTGCTTTTCCACACAAGCCTTTCACTCAGGGCCTCTCTGAACCTAACAGAACGGGATAGGCAAACTTAGTGCTGGCTCTGAAAATAGCCGCTCTTTTGAAGTCCTTCAGCGAGCTCCACATTCCCATAGTGGTTGTCACCTAGAACACTGCAAGTCCGTGTTTGTAAGTTGGTCCTGTTTGACATCTTATACTGAGTTAAATGCTTTGTTTTCCCAGGGATGATGAAGGAGCTTTTAGCTGGGCCCTAAATTCTCCTTCATTTGGGAAATGTAAAACTTGCTTGAGAAAAGCCTGTTTTCCAATGCCGCAGTGTATTTATTTACAAATTGTTCATTCTCACAAGAGGGAGAAGCAAAGTAGTTTCAAAATGGTGATTGGTTGGTCCATTGATGAGCATTCAGCCAGTTGACAAAATCCCACACAGTAAAAACAGATCTGTACCTTGGAGTGAATCAGTAATGCCATTTCTGTTTCCTTGTTTTGGAATATTGTCCCTTTCTATGTTTAAATCTCTCTGCATATATCTATAGAGCGAGCGTTGCTTGAAAAGTGGGGAGGGAAGCTCTTGGATTCTGGATGGAAACAGAATAACAGAATTGGAAGGGACCTTGGAGGTCTTCTAGTCCAACCCCCTGCTCAGGCAGAAAACCCGATACCATTTCAGACAAATGGTTGTCCAGTCTCTTCTTAAAAACTTCTGGTATTGGAGCATTCACAACGTCTGGAGGCAAGTTGTTCCACTGATTAATTGTTCTGACTGTCAGGAAACATGGTGGACTAACCTGTCTCTGCACTGTGGGGACCTCTCCAAGGCCTAGACTGACAGCCGGGTACTGGGCTTGAGATAACAAACTTCTCCAGACAATCTGAATTGCATTGTCATTATCTCATTCTATATAATTGCATATTGTGTGGCAAGTTAAAGCTCTTTGGACCTTTTGTTTATAACAAAGAAATCAGATTGTACACTTTATTTTAGAAGCCTGGGAGTTGGGTGGCATATAAATTTAATAAATTACTACTACTACTACTACTACTACTACTACTACTACTACTACTACTACTACTATTATTATTATTATTATTATTATTATTATTATTATTATTATTATTATTATTATTATTATTATTATTATTATTATTATTATTATTATTATTATTATTATACTCTTTTCCAGGTATTTAAATACAAAAAACATTGTTAGGTGATTCCAATACTTTTACAAAAACTAGCCTCTTTTGAATGAACTGTTTCCATCATTTAGCTGTCCTTTATGTCCATTGCATGCAGTGATATATTTTCATCTCCTAAGTGTCTGTTCTATTTTCACCTTTTATTGGTGGAAAAAGGAATTATCCAGCAATATCTAGTGATGGTCTATATTACATAGTACCATATTTTCCAAAGTCAAGTTGAATGCTTGATCCTCTGGACATCCCAGTTTTTTTACCACCACAGCTCTGGGACATTGAAATTAGATGATTTGGTGGTTGCTTCTGTTGTCACTGCAGACTTGGCAGGACTAAAATAATGCAGAAATTAATCCTAATTAATTGCTAGGGTGGACTGTGTTGGAATTCTGAAGTTGAGGAATGCGGATGTCGAAGCCCGAATAGGCATTGCTGGTTCTAAGAAAAAAAGCACCCGAGCCAGGCTGGTTTTCCGTGTCAACATCCCGCGGAAAGATGGTTCTATTCTAACGCTACAGACTCCGTCCTCGCCCGTTCTGTGCAGTAAGTGACAAAGTCAAATTGTGAGGCAGGGCCTCTAATGACCAAAGCCCCCTTACTTGTTGAGCTATCCTGCTTCTCTACAGAGGATTAAACTTTACAAAAACAAAATCATAAGTTATTTTTAGTATTTACTGAAACAGAACTTGAGAGAATTTGCATAAAATGATCTATTTTAGTGACATGGAGAATAAAACATGGACAAATAGATTTTGAATATTACATTAGGACCTTACCTCATAAGTGTGTTCCTAAAATGGCAACAGCTGGCCATGAGTTCCCAGGGGAACTGTGCTGTACTTTCCCCTGTAAAAGGAAAAGGAGTCTTACTTTTTGAATCTGACGTTTGCTTAAGCTTTTCATAGCATTTGTCCTTTCCACGTATAGGCTGTTAGAGGCCTTGGGTTTATAGCTGATTGTGTATGGATATTTTCAGTTAAATCTCCTTTTCTTTTTGGCATAGCTCAACCTGCAGGCGTGCCAGAAATACTCAAGAAAAGCCTGCATAGCTGTTCAGTGAAAGGAGAAGAAGAAGTATTTTTGATCGGCAAGAATTTTCTGAAGGGAACCAAAGTGATCTTCCAAGAGAATATCTCTGGTGGGTATCAAGGTGTATGTGCCTAGATTGGGCAAATGAAGTTCCAGGAGGATGGGAATGGCCAGCGTGAGAGCTGTTGGTCTCTGTGACTTCCTCGACAGCTTACTGGTACCTTTGTATAATTTTACTGCCTTGCTTTCAAACAGATGAAAGTTCCTGGAAAGCCGAGGCAGAAATTGACATGGAGCTGTTTCATCAGGTATTTGCTTTCTTAGGGATGTAATTATCCATTTGATCTTGAGAACATTAATTTAGGCATTACTATTAAAACAATCCCATTTTATGGTATGTTTTGAAAGTGAGGTTCAGATAGGCATGCACATGCATTTTATTCCTGTACTTAATGGGAAGGATAAATTTTCTGAAATCTGTGGAAGCTTTATGGCTGAATGCAAATATGTAATGTAAACAAATCTTACAGTAAATCTGCATTCAAAACAAAGATCTAAGATCCAAATGTAAAATTATTTTGTAGCCCTTGTTTTCTGCTAGAGGAAGGCCAGCAATAGCACTTATACCATTTCATAGTGCTTTACAGCTCTCTCTAAGCAGTTTGTAAGCAGTTTGCATATTGCCCCCACAATCTGGGTCCTCATTTACTGACCTTGGAAGGCTGAGTCAGCCTTGTGCCAATCAGAATCAAACTCCTGGCAGTGAGCAGAGTCAGCCTGCAGTACTGCATTCTCGCCACTGTGACTCCTCAAGGCTGCTCTAGGGAGCAACACAGCTGTAAAGCTATAGGTTTGAACATTGAGTCATACATACCTCAGTGAAATCATCTTCACTTCTGAGGTGGAAGAGAGGGATTGGGTTCTGATGTCCCCACAGAAACAGCTGTTAACTAACTAGTTGTTCTCTGAGTCCAAAGAACAGGGCAGATCTTTGATAGAGAGCCACCATTCCTCCTCCTCATTGGTTGTTAGGATTGGGACTCTTTGGTGGAACTTTTGCTCAGCTTGGAAAGTCAGATTTCTCCATGTTCAGAGTTTGTGTGATTGAGTGCCAATGTACTTACTTGCCTTTAAGAGCTCAGTAGAAATAACCGTAGTTTCACCTCTCCATTTAACTGACTTTGTTCTGAGTCCTCCATCTTTCCCCCTGCTCCCCCCTTGGATAAACTCAGCAAAGGAAGTAACCAGCAAGTTTTTGTTTGTATGCTAGATTTATGAAATGAAGTAGAGGTAGGAACAGGAACAGCCGGCTTATGTATCTGGGCCCTTATTGATAAAAATCTAAATTTTCTTATGTCAAATGTCACAGACTGGAGGCCTTTAATACCTAGCCACTTTTTTTTTCTTTTCAGAATCATCTAATTGTGAAGGTGCCACCTTATCATGACCAGCAAATAACTACATCTGTTTCTGTTGGGATTTTTGTCGTGACCAATGCTGGGAGATCACATGACATACAACAATTTACATACACTCCAAATACATGTATGTAAAAAGCACAATATTTGACCAAGGTGTCTTGGTCAAAGTTTGTCCCGCTTGGCCAGGGAGCTGCTTAGGGAACATGAATCATTGGCCCGAGGACATCTTGGCCAGTGCTTGCAGTTTGGGAAAGAGGGTGTGCGCAACTACCACGGATTTCAAGGAGCTGTGCTGAATGTTTCAGTCATTGGCCTTTGGTTCTTGAAATGTGTAACTTGTGCTTATTGGTGATCTGAAAAATTGGGAAGCTTGACGTATAATTTCCCTGCTTACATCTCTCCTGAACATTTTGTTTCTTCAGCAGCAGCTCATACTCTGAATGTGAACGTGAAGCAGGAAATATCCAGCCCAACCCAGCCCTGCTCTTTTGATGATGCAGCCAAAGGTAATTCTGGACGGCAGCCTTCCTTATCACCTCAGCCAAAAACTTCATAAAACTGCTGAGGACATCACATTGAAAAATGGCCGTCATAATTGGCTTATTTGGGAACTTTCAGGCTACAGATGTTTTCTGTTAATATATGTTGTTTCTCCTTCGGTCTGCTTCCTGGCTGACTTCCAAAAATTCACTAAAGTTTAAATACTTAATTCTGAGAATGATTTTTTTGTGGGGGGATATACCTGTAATAAATGTAATAAACAAGCAAGCTTCAGTAGGCCAGAGATTACTGATCAAGCAGGCTAAGGTGTTTGTGCTGGTAAGCTGAACCATAATAGGTGCCATGGGGTTTTTTGGTGTGTAGCAGCCATTTGGGTTGACATTGGCCTTCAGGAGTGTCTTTTACTGCAAAGACAGACTGCGTAGCCAGGACTTGCCAGGAAAGGTTATCTGTCTTCCCTTCTAACAGGCTCTTCTCTCTAGTAGATGCTGTATTTTTGAGTTTCATCCTCCTGGGGTTGACTTAGGGAATGAATTCTGCTCTTTGTCTTCTGCAGTGAATTCCAATGGCTGCCAGCTGGACCAAGTAAATCTTCTCCCCAGTGCCTTGGTAACTCCTCTCAGGCCAAACAGTATCGTTAAGAATGAAGAGGCTGCTCCAATGGAACTTGTGGCCGAGAAAATGTCTCTTCCTGCCTTTAATGTAAGCAGCAGTTGAAAAATGGTTCTGGACATATGTCTTTTATAAGAAAAGAAGAAAATTATGAAACTTTTATTTAGAACATTTGTTTGACATCAAATGTTGTTTGACATCTGTTGTGACAAGTTTGGTAGGACTACAAATATTTATTTCACTTTTTACAATAGACAGGAGAAGTTTAACTGGAACATACCTTGTAAATAAGCAAGGGAAAGATGTGATAACACGATAGTATACCGTTCTTTTAAAACTGAAGTGGCATAGAAAAGCTCACCAAGCATTCTATCAAAATCACCTGGGGAAAAAAGCTTTATGTTTTCTGACTGTAGTTTTAACACATTATTATAATCCATTCTGATACAACAATATAACCTCTGCTGTGGTGTTCATAATCATGCAAATTAAGGGTGTAAGGAATGGATTTCTAAAAATTGGAAAACAATTCAATGAAAAGTATATAATGAAGGAATGAATACTTTGTAGAATTCAGGATAGTTTATTTTTCTCCCTGAATTATGGTTAGGCAGAGAAAAGTAAAAATTCGAAATCTTACTGCTGTGTGTGCATGTTTCTCTTCAGACAACCAGCGCCATTGGGCAATCTCAAACAACTTTGGAGACCACCATATCCAGCATGTTGGGGAATGGCACTTTCTCCTCTTCTGCTTCTCATTTGGCTCCAGAGAGTGAAAAGCAGCCCCTGCAACCAAAGTATCCTCCTGAGACTATGCCGACCCTTCAGGCCCCGGACGTCGTGCAGTCTGGCAGCTTTCCAGCTGCCTCTGCTCCGAGCCAGCTGCAGAACAGTGATACCCTCCTGCAGCAGGCCTCCCAGTTCCCCTTGAGGGAGCCTTCCTCCAGAGAGGCTTTGCAGTCAGACAGCACAGCCATGGCTTTGTCCCAGCTGACGGAGACCCCCCAACAGCCTCCTCCCCTTCAGGAGTCCAGCCAGGCACTGCAGCAGCAGATCTCCTCAAGCATGTTCTCGGCCGATGGGGTGAGCCAGCTGCAGAGCACAATCCAGCAGCTGCAGACGGGGAGTTTTCAGTCCGGCCCTGGTGGCAGCGGCAGCGGCAACAGCAGCAGAAATGTTGACCTGGTTCAGCAAGTCCTGGAAGCTCAGCAGCAGCTGTCGTCTGTCCTCTTTTCAGGCTCTGAGAGCGAGGACGTTCAAGAGCAGCTCAGTGTAGACATTTTCCAGCAGGTTAGCCAAATCCAGAATGGAGTCAACCAGGGCATGTTTTCTTCATCGGACACTGTTCACTCGAGGGCAGAAGACCACCTCCCCAGCCGAAATGAGACCATGCACCCGCAACCAGAGACTTCGTTGGCTGGCCAGCAGCAGCCGCAGCAACAACCGCAAGTGATGGAGACGTCTGCTGCGATGGTGATCGACATGCAGCAAGGCCTTTGCCAGGCCCCCAGCTGCATGCCGTCCGACTTGTTCTCCTCCGCCTCCTCCGCCTCCTCCTCCTCCTCCTCGGGAAATGGAAGCATCCAGCAGTCCCCAGTGTACCCGCCAACTTCCCATTTGATAGGCGGGCTGTCAGCGAGTGAAGACATGCAAATGCAGTGTGAGCTGTTCTCTCCCACCAGTGTCTCAAGCAACGATGCAGGCACTCCAGGGCAGCCGCAGCAGGAGCAGGTGCCCACCAGCGGCCCTGCCATGTTCCCGGCTTCAAGCTCTGTGGAAGGCAAAGAAGCTTCAGGACAAGCCAAACAGATGCAGAGCAGCGTCTTTCAGGCGATGGTCCAAATACAACACAGTGGGGAAAGCCAGGCTCAGGTTGCCCTCTTTCCTTCCTCGGAGGACATGATGGCTGCCGTTCAAGGTGCCGGAGCCCAGCAGCAGGGTGGGGGGCTCTTCCAGCAGAGTGGAGAGATGCTCTCTCTCCAGGCGGGCACTTTCTTGCCCCCAGCTGCCCACTCCCAGCCTCAGCTATTCCACTCTCAGAGCCCCATCGGGGACACCCAGAGCATCTCTCAGGAGACGCCCAATTCTCTTTTCCATAGCCAGAATGCAGCCTCTTCTTCTGAGCAGCTGCAGCAGCAGCCAATGTTTCATTCCCAGGGAAGCCTAGGAGTGGTTCCGGACCAGCAGGCAAGCAGCCTGTTTCTCTCCCAAAATACAATGGGCTCCTCCGTTGCGCAGGAGGAGCAGATGCCGTTCTTCGCCACACAAAGCTCTCTTTCTCCTTTGCAAGGCCCAGCCAGGACTGAGCAGCAACCCTCCTTCCAACAGCCCCACCTCCAAGGCCCTCTGCTCACCCAGGAGCAGCCCCAGTCGACACATCAGGCCCTTTTCCAGGCCCAAGTAACTCTAGGCCCCCTCCCTCCCTCTGGGGTGCCTCCCAACCAGCAGGGGGGCATTTTCCAAGCTCAGCATTCGCTTGTGGCTCTTCAGAATAGTGCCTCTACCCAAGAGCAGCAGCAGCAGCAGCAAAATATGCGGTTCAGCAGCCAGAACACCATGGGCTCCGTGACCTCTCAGAAGCCAACACTGCTGTTCAGCTCCAATCCCAGCACGATGACCAGTCAGGAACAACAGCAGAGCCAGCCTCTCTTCCACCCCCAGAGTAGCCTGGCCCCGAGGAGCCAAGAGCAGCAGCCCATGCAGTTCCAGAGCCGGAGTTCAGGCTCCACCCAAGCTGAGACACCACAGCCGCCGCCAAGCTTATTCCATGGCTCGGAGCCGGTCACCCTCTTCCTATCATCAGCTTCCATGTCTGCCTTGCAGGGCAACATGAGCCAGCAGGAGTTGCAACAACCCCCTCTCTACTCCCCACAGAGCAACCTGCCAAATATACAGGATACTTCATCGGCCCCCCAGCAGCAGCAGCAGCAGGCAGTCACTTTGTTTCACAGTGCCTCTGCTGGAAGTTCTATCAACCAGCTGCAGAACCCCTCCACCTCATCCCCACAGACCTCTGGGATATTCCTCTTTGGCATCCAAGATGGTAAGTCTGAGTGTAAAGATTGATGTTCAGAGCACTAGATTTTCCTTGCTTGTCTGCCTCTAATTTTGGTATTCCATTTTACATACCTGAGCTATGAAAACAAAAATACAGAATTAATTCAAATCAGGGTGCTGTGAGGCCTTATGGGCATTGTCGCTACTTGGGTTGAAATTGGCATTTAGATTCATGATCCTGCTTAGTTCTCCCTGCTCAGCAAGTTTACACTTGGCTCTAAGCGATACTTGCAAGACCATATTGGTCATCAGCCTTGATCTGGATGTGTTGTTGGAACCTTGTTTCTTCAGCAGGTTGTGGTCAGCTCTTAACATCTGGACCAGGTTCCATGTCAGAGCAGATGATGACCCTCAGGCAAGCACAGAATGAGGCACAGCCATCCGTCACAGCTCTCCTGTCCCAGCAAATGTCAGAGAGTCCTCAGATTTCTTCTGCAATGACCACCAATCAGAATATGAAGAAGATTGATGACTTGCTTGTATCCTTACAAAATCAGGGGAACAATGCCATGGCTGGATCCTTCTAACAAGTGAGGTAAGTCAGGACCATTTTCTTGAGCTGCAGAAGTTTTTTGTTTAATTAATGAAATTGGGGAGCATGAAGCATTCTCTGTGCTGTTGTTTTCCTGGAAAGGAGACGGGATTAGTGCTCACCTTGTGAGCCGATTGATTACAGGCCTAATTCTTGAATCAGTCACTTGTTTTTTGGAGAGAAAGGCAGCTTTATATCCAAAGGTGCTGGTTACCACTGAATGATTTTGCTTAGAAAACAGTGTGGATGGAGTGTGTTGACCATAATACACTCCGAGACCGCCTTCTGCCACAGATTGCCTCTCATCGGCCGGTACGCTCCCACAGAGAGGGTCTCCTCAGGGTGCCGTCAGCCAGACAGTGCCGGCTGGCGACCCCCAGGGGGAGGGCCTTCTCTGTTGGAGCCCCCTCCCTATGGAACGAACTACCCCCAGAGATCCGGGTCATCCCGGATCTCCCCTCCTTCCGCCNGATTGGATTTTAATTTGATTTTATATTGGGTGTTCACAAAATTTTAAATGAAACGGCAAAATTAATATTTCTTTTAATTGTATTTTAAAATGGTGTTTGTAAGGTCTTTATCTGTTTTTAGCTTGCTGTAAGCCGCCCTGGGTCCGCCAGGAGAAGGGCGGGGTATAAATCTAATAAAATCTAAATCTAAATCTAAATCATCTTAGTCATTAGTGCTAGACACTTGTCCTTTAAAAACTCGAGGCAGAGTTGAAATTCTGCCAAGCTGAATGCAATTAGAAAAAAGGCACTCTCTAGTACTGCTGTGTTAACTTCAGCACTTTTTATTTGATTTATTTAGCATTATTTATTAGCTACATCAACTCTGGCTAATTAAATCTGGGCATTCCTTGAATAATAGAAACAAGAACAGAACCCCCAAATGCAGCCAGAAATACACCTAGCTATAATGGTCGCCCTCAATCAGAACGAGGCACTTGCAAGCCCCATACAATGAACTCAAGAAACAAAAGCTGCAGATTTCAGAAAAGCATCTTTAATACTCTTTAGGGTAAAAACATATTATTTAAAACTGTTTAAGGAAGGCCCTGGACAAACTTCTAGCAACCCTCTTCCTTGAGGTGCTTCCTAGTGGGCGCCCAGAAGAGAGAATCTGTTGGGGTTGCCAGTGCCTGTTCCATCTTTGAATTGGGCCCCAATCCAGAATGAAGGGGACCCAGATAAACTGCCTCCTCTTCTGTCATTGATTCCATTTTCCCCCTCCCCCTTCTCTACAGCCGTTTCCCTCAAAATGAAGATTGGAAACCATGCCAAAATGCTTCTTCAGGAAGGGTGCACTGCTGCCTCTTTCAAAGCCACAGCATGAGCTCCTTCAGAGAAGCAATGATTGCTGCTTGAATTTAGGCTACTGGAAGAACCGTCTCATCCCACTGGGATTGGTCCACCCCACCTGTGCTGGCAGAGGAGGCATGGTTTGGGCCCATTGGCCAGGGTATTCTGGCTATTGGGGTCCAGGAGAAGAGCCTTCTCTGCCATTGCGCCTGCCCTTTGGAACATCTTGCCCCCTGGAGTGAGGTTGGTTCCAACCCTCCTGACCTTCTGCGAGAGCCTAAAGACCTGGCTCTGCCAGCTGGCTTGGGGTTCCAAAGGGGGGGCTTCAATCTTAGGGGTAGTTGATAGATTAACAACAGCTCCCACCCCCTTCTCGTCCTACTATCTCCCTTCCTCCTCATCGCATAGCTAGGTTGATTATCTGGATTTTGTTATAGTATTGTATTTATATGGTTTTGTATAGTTTTATCTTTTAATATTGTAAGCCACTCAGATTTGCCTTGTGGTAAGATGGGTGGCTAATAAATTTTACAAATAAATAAATAAATCTAGCCTGCTTAGCAGCCTGAAGAGCCAGGAGGATCATGATTCTAATCTGTTTTCCTTCTCATAGGCTTCTGTGAAAGTGGTAAGCCTAGAGAAGAATGGAGTGGCTGCCATCATGGGGGATTTAACATGAGCCCCTAAGATTGCTGGGTTGTACCCACTTTTAAACTGATGGCAGCCTTTCGCTGAGTGTCTTTTCATGGAGAAAACCCAGTTGTTGAAGGCTGCTAAACGCAAGTGAGGAAGGATTAGTCTTTGTGTTATTTATAAATGTCTTTTTGTTTTCTTTCTTTCATTTAGAAATCCTGCACTGGACAGACCGACTTGCAAGACTCCTTTAGCTCTAGTGATTCTGGAGTTTAGCAAAGTAGCGCTAACTCTTCTCTGTTGAAAGAGGGCCTAAAGCAACATCTTCATCCTTGCTTTGGAAGAACACCACTCTGGAAGTGCTGCTGAAGTGTGTGTGTGTTGGGGGGGGGGAGCCAGGTTTTGTATTATTCAGGCATGGGCTGGACTGTTATCTCCATCCCAAGTTCTGTGAGGGATGCAGAGCGTGGCTATCATGTGTCAGCACAGGGCAAGGACATTGGGCTCCCTCTCCCGTCTTTTTCTGGTTTTCACGATTCCTTGGGTGCATTTCCTGTGTCCTCAATCATTTGATGGCTTCCCATGATTTGTGGCTAAGTATGGGAATGGTTTCCATTGAAAAATGTGGCTTGAGTAGTATAGCACAAGTCTTCTGTGTATGCTGTGAATCCCACCCAGGGTCAGGGCTTGATGCTACACATGTCAGGTAGTGGATTGGGCTCTGAAGCAGCAGCTGCTCCGATCAGAGTAATGAAGGAGCCTCGGGGGGTGGGGTTGGGGAGGGGCTCCTGTGGTGGTTTGAGGGGGCCTTGCAGGGGAGGCAGCCTCCGATTGGGGCTGTGGTTTGCTGAGAGTTGGGCGCAGATGGCTGTTCTCCCTTCTCAGAAGAAACCAGTTGCTGGTCTAAGGAACGGGCTCTTTTTGGAGCCTGCTTTGATCAAATGTGTCTGACTCTTCTTAAAGCTTCTCACTAGTTTCCCACCTTATTTAAATATTCTGCTTTTGACACTTTTGCCATTGCTGGGAGATGGAGGCTCCATGGTAGGAACCGGGGACCTTCTCTAAGCTCCACTTTGAACTCCAAGGCAGAGGAGCAGCTTTGGTCCTGCCAAAGGACATTGGTAAAAAGCTAGTGCGGTCCAGACTATGTCATCCTTAGCAGGCTTTCCTGGGGTTCACCTCCTGCAGCCGCCTCCAGGTCTCTTGCACATCCACCACTGCGTGGGGTCTCTGCCACTCCAGAAGGTTCCTGTGCAGCTCTTGCTGACCTCGGGGGCTGTTCCAGGGACGTCCTGGCTGTTTGTCTTCTGTGTTGAGAAGAATGTCGCTTGTCTCCCTCGTGCACCCCTGTGTGGGGCTTCTTCCTCATGCTGTGCCAGTCTGTCTCTTCTGTTAGTGGTCCATGCATTCTGTCCCAAGAGGTTTGGGTTACATTTTCAGTAGTACAGGCTCTTTTGCCGATATGAAGGGAACTTTTCAGAAAGAGACCTACTCGGGGTCATTTAATTTTGAATACAGTTTTCAGTCGTTCAAGTTTTGGATGGTTTATATCTAATGTGTGTTTCATTTTTTGGAAAGCTCTATTTTGTATTTAGTAAATGATAAAGTATTTTGCTATTTGTACTAGATGAGTACATTGGCATATATATATACATATATTCTTCTTGCCACAGATTTTGTGGCAAACGTGTGAGTTTATAGTCTCTTCTCCCACCACATGGCTTCTGGTAATGGGGGAAAGAGGACGGGGTTTGTTAAATCTTCATGGAGTATTTCTGTAATTTTTGTTACAGGTGTTCCTTCTTTGTCTGGCCATTCTGTCAGTGCTGGCTGGCCGTGAAGGCAGCTTCATGCCTGAGGGACGGATCTCCTGCTGCGGGGGGACTTGGCGGGGGAGCCCTTTAGGGTGACTTCTTAAGAGCTGGGATTTGATTCTGCTTTTATTCTCTGTTAATGTCTAATGTTTTTGCAGGCTTTTTAATTTATAACACTAATACCCTCTGCTTTCCCTCTTTTGTAAATCCTATAGATACCTTGAACCTAATTCTGATGCTGAGAAAGAGAGGTACACACATGCTGAGGGAATTATGGGGAGGCAGTGAGGAGAGTGCAAAAAGGCCCCAAGTCAGTTTGCTTTTTTGGGGGGGGATGTGTCACAGTCTGAGGTCAGCTCCTTGTTAAGAGGTTCCCCTGTCCTCTCTGAAGGGTGCCGGGGGAATGAGCAGGGGCAGTCTGGTGAGCTGCTCGGGGCCAATGCCAAGACACCTGGGACCAATCCTTCATTGAACCAAGATTCTGCCCAGATCCCCAGGAAGCTGCTGGTTCTCCTGGCCACTTCCTGTAACGTCAGCATCTGCTGCTTCTGCAAAATGGTGAAATTGATACTTTGTTGGCTGGTTTTTACTTTTCCTTGGTCCAGTTTAGGTCAATATTTAAATGTGCAACATTTTGAATATGTGATTTGGTTACCAAATGTATCTTTTTGGAGCAAAGGGGCTGCTCAGTAGCTGGCAGAGGCTGGTCCTGCATCTTTGCTCCTGCTTTCTATGGGCAAAGGGAACGGAGGAAGCAGAGCCTGCAAAGGCCACAAGAGACTCAGTTTCCCTTGGCAAGCTCTGCATTTAGCTGCTTCAGCAACCCAACCTGGTTGCTGGAACTTGCTGTGTTTCTGCACAAAGGCTGCATTCCCCACCTCGCTGTTTTCAGGGCAAGAAATGTGAGGGACACTGAAGAATGAGAAAGCCCACGGGGAAGAAGGATCAGTCTTTTGTTGTGGGAGGAGATAGTCCCTGCCTTTTACGTCAAACTCCCTCACTGAAGGAGGGATTATGGAACTCATTTGTAGAATTAAGTAGGTCTTTGTGGTTACAAGACCCAGAAAGAAGATTAAAGTTCAAAAGAAAGTGTAGTCTTTTAAAATACAGTACATTGCCCTTTTAAAGTTTATACTAAGAATTTTGCCATACAGGTAGTCCTTGACTGACATCCTTTCATTTAATGACCAAAGTTACAAAAGCGCTGAAAAAATTGATTTACAACAGATCCTCACACAGTTGTCACAGTATTCCCATGGTCACATGATCAAAATTCCAGCGCTTGCAACTGGCATGTAGGTCTGACAGTGTCCCGGGGTCAAGTGATCCCCTTTGAGATCTTCCCAGCCATCATCTGACAAGCAAAGTCAATGGGGAAAGCCAGATTCAGGTAACAACTTTGTGATTCATTCTTTAGTGATTGGCTTAACGACCATAACAGAAAAGGTTGTAAAATTGAGCATGATTCACTTAACTATTGTCATTCTTAGCAATGGAAAGTTGAGGACTACTTGTAGAATAAAAGGCAAATTGAAAGAAAAAAGAAAATGCAGGAAATGAAAAAAAATTAAAGACTTCCAATTTTCTTTTCAACAGATACTTTATTTAATAATCCCTCCTTAGATATATAATAAAATGTATAATCCCTCAATCCCTTATTTAGTCCAAGCCTGGCTTAATCTTCAAACCCATAAGCCATAATTTCATTTCTTTTTTCAGCAAAAAGTCCATAAGGTTTCCAGTTTTTTTTAAATGACTAAATAGTATGTAGGACAAGTTTTGCCATTTCTGCAAATTCTGACATTTGCACAATCCATTCCTCCACTGTGGGGATTTCATTAATCTTCCATTGCATAGTTGTGCATATGATAATCTTGCTGCAATTACCACATATAAGATCAGTCTGCCGTGAGTTTTTCCTAATTCATTTTCCATAAGACTGAATAAAGAGAGTTCTAGTTGCTTTGAAATATTAATCTTTAAAGATTCTTTGCATCATTGTGTGAATTTGTATCCAAAGTGTATTGGCTTTTTCACAAGTCCATCATGCATGATGAAATATCCCCTCATGTTTATAAATTTCTAACACTACTTTGAAATACCTTTATATTTTTGATAACTTTTCTGGTGTCATATACCAATAATACATCATTTTATAAAAAAATTCTCTTATATTTATAACATAATGTAAATTTAACACAAATTACCCAGATTTTATCCCAATATTAATCTCTATATTATATCCAAAATTAATAGACCATTTTGTCATGCTATCTTCAAACTTGTTCATCTTCCATTTCAAATCTTAACAAAAGTTTATACATTTTTCCTATTATATATTCATTTTTGTACAATTCAGTTTCAAATTCCAATTTATATTTTTCAGTTCCGTTTGTCTTTTTATCCACATTAAACCTTTTTTTAACTCTACGTATCTAAACCATTGAAAGTTATATCCCTGTGAGTTCAGTTGCTCTCTTCATCTTAATTTCTCCATCCTCCTGTATGAATAGGTCTCGTGTTAGCTATTTCTTCATGTTGGCTGCTTGTTTCTGTAGAATGCTTCTTTGCTAAGGTCAATAAAGGTATCTTCAGGCCCAACCAGTGTTCGTATTTATTCCATATTCTCAGTACATTATTTTTCACATAATTAAAATCCACATTGTTACGCTACAGTAAGAACCTTACAGCAAACAAACCTCAGATCATGACCCTTTGTTTCAAACATTCTTTTTTTTCTCAGCAAGACCCATCCTTTCATCCAAATTAAATAACAGACTACAAAGTACAATTTAAAATCGAGCAATCCTAATGCTTCCTATCTTTTGCATCCTATAGAATTTTGTATTTAACCCTTGATTTCTTGCTATGCTATACAAATCTAGATAAAATTATTTGCCACTATTTAAAAGAAGCATTTTTCAAAATCAGGATTGTTTGAAATAAAAACATTATTCTAGTTAATGTATTTATTGTTCTCACAGAAATTCTTCCAAGCCGTGAAAGTTGCAACTTCTCCTTTCTTAGTAAATCTTCCTTAATTTCATTCCATACCTTAACATAATTACCTTGAAATAACATGCAATTCATATTAGACATAGTAATATCTCACTAGAAAAACGTTTGCTCTGGTGGTTAAGACTTCAGGCTAGAAACCTGGAGATTTTGAGTTCTAGTTCCACCATAGTCACAAAGCTAGCCAGATGATTTTGGGCTGGTCACTCTCCCTCCATCCTGACAAGAAAGCAGAGACAAACCATGAATGAAATCTTGCTAAGACAACTGCAGGGACTTGTCCAAGCAGGTGCCAGGAGTCAAGACTGACTCAAAAACGCACGCACGCGCGCACACACACACACACACAGATAAAAACTTTATTTCTTTCTCAGTTTGAAAACCAATAGTCACTCATGAGATGGGAGTGGCCTCCAATCATTGCAAGCAGCTCCTGATTTAGTCATAGTAAGCAGGCGGTTTCCCAAAGCACCAAATTCTTTTCAGCTACACTTCTGCATGTCCTGAAGCAATAAGCAGGCTGATCCTCCCTTCCTCTCTACCATAAATGCAGCAGCTGGCTTGGGCTGTTCCGGCTGTTCAGAATCGGTTCTGTCGGCTTGGGGGTCAGGCCACTCTGTGGGAATGGAGTCTCTTTGGAGCTAGAAGCTTTGTGAATGCCGGACATGCTCTCCCTGCTCTCCCTCAGTCCCAGCTTCCCAAGTGTTGGTCACCTTACAAGGGAAGCTGCGTGGATCATGGGAAACAGAGGCTGCGTTCTGCCAGTGCCCCCCCCCCCCCGGCTTTCCTTCCTCTTATTTCCTGCGTTCCTGCTTCGCTTTGGGCAGGACAGAAATCAAGCAGCCATTGAGCAGTCCCTTCCAGATCCTGCAATGTGAATGTAGCCTCATTTGGCCCATTGTGCATTTGTGTATCCCTGGCTTGTGTCGGTGGGTTTCTCAGAGCACTGATAACCAATTTTCAATTTATTCTATTGAAGGGGCTGGGGTGGGGTACTTCGTTTGCATTTGTTTTTTAGCTCTTCTGTGATAACTTGTTGAATATTAAAGAGATATTTTGCTTCTATTGGGACATTTGTATACTTGCAACTATATTTCTGTACACAGCTGCAGTCCAGAATAAAACTTTGAAAGTTTTCATTTCATAATGTATAACTGGCGTGCTGTTCTTTCCAACATCTTCCGTTTAATAGCATTAATTCTCTGAATTTTGCGAAGTGTCTTCCTCTCAGGCTCAGAAGCTGAAGAACACTGAGACTGCAGGAAGAGGCTCACCATGTAAACATCTTACTCATTCCAGAGCCTCATTTTTTCTGTTGCATTTAGTTTCTCCAGCTGACAGCCACTTTGGGCTGCATACTTGGTATTCCTGTATTGCCATCTGTCAGAAATGGTATAGGGACTCCTGCTTGGGTGGGGAGTTGGACTGGATGACCTACAAGATCCAACTCTGTGATTCTATTGTTCTGTCCTATCCTATCCTATTATTCCTATTCCATTCCTCAAAAAGCTTTGGGGTTGTCTGGGGATGCTTACTCTGGGAACAGCATTGGGAGAAGTGCAGATCTTGGCAAAGTGGGGTGGGGGAGGGAGACCTTTATGTGGGAATAAAGTCTTTAGGCTTGATGATCTTCTGAACATGGCCTGTGATTGCCTTTCAACATGGCAGGTGGAAACAGGTGGAACTTTTTGTTCTGCTTTATGGAGTGCAGACTGAAAAATGTTCCTGATAACCCATAATGTGTTTAAATAGAAATGGGAATGCCCCAAGATGCAGTTTGGGCACTGAGGTTTTAGTTGTGATCGAAGCCATACAAAGAGCTAGTCTCACCTCTGCATTAATGTCCTCTATTAATTCTGCATTCTGAAACTTCAGTCAATCAATCTGTGTCTCACACAACTAAAGGGACTGCTTTTCTCTGCTTTTTTGGTTGTGCATGTCTCTTCTGCAAGGCCAATGGCCATTTCTAAAGCAACCTACAACTACAGACCTCATTGAAGAGTGTATAAAAGAGAATCAAATTACCTTGATTTGCCTAGAGGTAAGCTGCTTAGTTATTGTGGAATGCATAACATCCTTCTACACAGTCTAGCAAATTAATCACAGAACATTGGCAATGTACATATTCAGGGCTTTTATTTCATTAAGAACATTTACAGACAGAAAAGGATGGACAATTATCACTTCATACCTAGCATGTGACAGATTAGCCTCAGTAGCTAGACTTGGAGCTTAAAAAGCAGGCATTGACATTGACGGCATCCTAAACATGCAAAGAGAAAAGATTCCCAGGTTTTAGGCAACGTGAATGCTGAAGCAGTGCTAGCAGACTTCTCTAATCCCATCGGCAGGCAACCTTTGAAGGCAATCGAACCCCACAATTACACCACCAAGAGAATAGAGCTGGGTGGAAAACCTACCTGAATGATCCAACACTGCCTTGGCTGAGCAGTCACTCAGGAAGGCCCAGTTGAGAGGCCCCTTTCCCTGCACCTGCTAATTTCTAAGAGAGGGAGGGGTGAGGTGGGCTCACAGCCATTGCAATCCTACACCGCTTCTCAATGGGGCAAATACTTCTCCTGGGCCTTGATCTGGTTGTCTGGTGGGAATGGCTTCCCCAGGTGCTGGCCAACAGTCAGCCCGCATTTCTCCTTTTCCTGCTCTTCCTGGACATCTTTCTTTAGCACAAAGCCTTTAGCAAAATTCAACTCAAAAAGGCTGTTTGGGGCAAAGCTGAGAGGCTCCTCTTCCCAGATGGCTCTCAGTCTTTTCTTCCAATCCTCCAGAATTTGGGAGCGGACATTCTCCGGAGTGTGCTGGCCAATACTGAAAGCAATCTGGGGAGCCAAGACTTGGAAGCCGCAGAAATGAAGGGTGCCACTCTGCATGGGTGAGAACCATAAGTGCCATAAAGCTTGCAGGGAGTCAGGCAAGTGCACCATCTTAGCATTTTGTCTTGGAGGAACCACCCATACCCTGAACATCTTGCCAGGTCCACAGAACCAAGAGCAGTTACTTCAGAGTAGTTCCTTTATTGTTGTTTGACTATAGACAGAAATGTTGCCACAGACTAAATCAACTGCCTGCATAACTAGTATGTGAAATGCTGTGTGTGTGTGTGTGTCCACCTTTGCCCTTTTCCTGCATACCAGGAAAGAGCCCCTCCCTCCTGAGACTTTGGACTACATTCCGCCTTATGCACACAAACTTTTCTTCCCTTTGGAAACCCAAGAGACACCCCTGAGGCCTGTATTTCAACAAGAGGCTATCTCCGTCCTCAGGAAGTGAGCTGTTCCTAAGATTGGCTCTCTTGTCTTCTTTCCTCACCTGTATTGGCCAGAGCAGGATGTTAATGTCTCCATTGATGCCTGCTGGGGTGTACATGGAACCCATCCCGCCAGTGGTGAAGGACAGCACGGCCTTCTTTTTCTGTAGGCCAGCAAAGCACAGTCAGGCCCCGGCAGCCAGCCCAGCTTCCCCTGGAGGGAGAGGGACCGGCAGGGTCCTGTTGCCACCACAGCTGCCGGACTGGTCTGGTCTGCCATGTTCCCGACAGCCCCTAGTGACAGGCCCAGTGAGGCTCAGGGCCAGCACGGTGGGCCTTTTGGAGTGGCCAGAAAACGGCAGCAGCAAGATGCCAGTATGCCAGTTGGGTTTGCGTGGCAGATGCCCGCCTGCCGCCCCCCTCCTTTCCGTCTAGGGCTGGGAGTGCAGCTCCTTCCTGGTACCCCTGCCCAGCCAAGGTGGGCCAGCTCCCTTCAAGCAGCCCGAGGCGGCGCTTCCCTCCCCCCGCCCGCAGCCGCCTACCTGGAAGGGCCCCTGGTCGTACATAGCGCCGTAGGAGTAGGCAAAGCCCTGGACGAGGACCCGATCGAACCAGCCTTTCAGAATGGCTGGGAGGCCAAACCAATGGAGAGGAAACTGGAAGGCAAGCAGGGCCGGGCGGCGTCAGGCAAGCAGGGCCGGGCGGCGCGGAGCCCCCGATCCGGCACCCGGGCTGGCGGGTTCTGACCCGCTCCCAGGCCCAACGAAGGCGGCTCGGCGGGCGCGGGAGCGAAGCGCTCGGCCCAGGGGCTTCTGCGGCGCCCCGGCTAAGCCCCGACGGCGCCGGAGGATCGGCCGCCAGATGCGCCGGCCGCGCGGAGAAGGGATCGGGGCTTGGCGGGCGCCCGGCGCGGCGCGGGAAGCCCACCTGGAAGAGGACGAGGTCGGCGGCTGCCAGCTTCTCCACCTCGCTCAGAATGTCGCCTCGAAGGCGGCCTTCCTTCCAGGCCAGCCCGGCCTCCTTCGCGTAGTTGAGGTTGCGCGGGTCGTCGGGGTCGCCTGCGGCGGAGCGAGCGGCAAGTTAGGCGGCGGCGGCGGCGAGCGCGCCAGGCAGGGCGGGGAGGCGGGACGGGGGGTCAGTACCGGCGAAGTCCGCGCGCGACAGGACCGGGTCGAAGCGCTCCGCGTAGAGGTCGGAGACGGCGACGCTCCAGCCGGCGCCCTTCAGCGCCTCCACGGCCGCCCGCTGCATGGCGTGGTTGAAGGAGGCCGGTTCCTGGTGGGCCAGCACGATCAGCGCCCGTCTCGCTGCCGGGAGAGGAGGAGGAGGAAGGCGCCGGCTCGCTCGCTCGTACCCCTCCCTCCCCCAGCAGCCAGCAGCCAGAGGAGCAGCGCCCCGGGCAGAGCCGCAGCCCACCGGCCGCCCGCCCCGCCCCGGCGCTGCCTGAGCGGCGGAGCTCCGGAGGAGCGGCGGGGCCTACCGCGAGGAAGACTTACCAGCCATGGACCGGGATCGAGGGCACCGCGGCGGCAGGACTAGAGAACGAGCGAGCGACCGAGCGCGGAGGCGCCTTTAGCAGTGGCCGGCGGCGGAGAGCAGCAGTGCGTCGGAGTCCAGCGGGCGCTCGCTCCGAAACTGACCCTGCAAACCTCGCCTCGGCCGCCGGCCTTTAGGGGCGGCGCTCCCCCCCGCCCGCGCCTCGCTCCGCCTGCCGTCGGAAGCTGGGCGGCCCCTTCCCCAGCCTCGGCTCTCCGCTCTCAGGCCGGCCGCGGCGAGTCAGTGGGTGCGGGCGGCGTCTGGGAGGTCTCCGGAAAAGGTGCGTTAGCAGACCCTCTGCTCTTCGGCCGCCCTTTCCCCGCTAAGGGTGCCGCTCTCCCGTGCTTAGGACGCTTGTCCCCAAGGACAGAAGTGGCTGATTAACCCCCGGACCGGCAGCTCGAATGCGGCTGCCACTCGGCCTCGATGGCTGGGGTCCCATCTGTCTCCTTCAAAGGGGGGCAGCTGGAATAGAAGAACCTGGAAGGAACCGCTCCGGGCGTACTAAAACAAGGAGGCACCGGCTCCCCCGGGACCTCTGGATCACAGGCCCTGGTGGCAACCATGCTGGTATCCACAACAGGAGAACCCGGGCCCCAGATGGCCTTTGTTCACCATAAACAGGTGGCTTCCTGCCAGCTAAAAGATGGCCCTCCTCTGGGTGCCTCACCCATTGGCCCCCACTGCCCTCAACTCACTGAAACATCCCACCAGGTTACGCAGGACGTAGGAGCAGCTTCAGTGACAACAGATTTCTGCTGCCAGATTTCCATATAGGTGGGAAGGGAAAGAGTGCCACAGGCATCTCAGTGTGCAGCAAAAGCCCTTCCTGTCAGCTGAGAGGCAAAGGGGACGCCAGCGGCTTTTGGACCTGCAACTTGGAATCGAACACAGGCCAGAGCAACCTGCACACCAAAGCCTACAACAGCCCAGCCAAGCTTAGTTCTAAGTGAAAATAGAAACACCCCCCCCTCCAAAGGGTCCAATCTGAGTCAGTCACCTGGACCAAAAGTTTCTTCTTCCAAGCTTTCAGGGTTATACCTGCAAGAGACCAATGGCCCAGGTTCAAAGTTTTGATCTCTCTCTCTCTCTCTCTCCCTCCCTCCCTCTCTCTCTCTCTCTCTCTCTCACACAAACACACACAAAAAAACTACACAAAGGCACTTTTAGCATTCAGCAGCTGGCCCGCATTTATGGCCCTGCAGTCACAATTTACTTTTCTGCCAGAAATACTTCTGGTTTCCAGCAAAAAAAAAAAAAAGGGTCCGTAATAAATAGGTTTGCTTAACAACTGCATTTGCTTAATCACCATAAAACAGGTCGTACAAAAGGGTCCTGTCATGTGATGACCCGCTTTACGACAGTCACAACTTATGACCATAACTTCCAGGCTCAATTACAGCCAGAAGTCAAGGACTACTGTTACACATCCGCAGTTTCTCCTTCAGAGGTGAAAATCATAACATAACCACCCACATCAGCTGAATTGGTAATCATCCAGTTCAAATATTCAAGCCCAAATTGTACTACAAAAGCCACTGCTCAGTCCCACTAGGTAGGCCAGGCGAGAAAGCCAACTCCACAGGAAGACTAGAACTACACTTTATTGAGAGGGGCTGTAAGAGACTCTTGCCAGTCTGACCAGGCTTTCCGTCCTGTCCTCACAGTCCAGAGAACCAGGGAGGCATTTGCCTTCCAAACGTTTCTGGCCTATTTCCCTCAAGGCCACTTTCCTTCCTCATTGCAGGACAAAGATCAAGAGGAGGAGAAGAGAGCCAGGCAGAAAATCCTGCCGGACTTGTCTGGTGAGGGTGTGTCCTTTCCAGATGCCCAGGAAGCTGGAGTGGCCCCTGCGAAGCCTTACTAGTTTTGCACCCAACTCTGGTGGGGCTCTGTGGCCTGAGCTCACACAAGACCCCAGTCAGAAGAAAAGCAACGGGAAGAGCTTTGTTGTTTAGGCTGAAGCGGTTGCGGAGTTCAAAGGCCAGCACACCAACCCAGGCAACTGGGCATTAGCATGTTCTGAAAAGCACACTGCCTTTTCCAGATTCTGTGCATTTAACTACCTGTAGCTGCTGAAATACAGCAAGTTTGCAAAAGATTCTTTTTCACAGGAAACTCTGCTGGAAGAAGAAAGCTTAATTCCTTTCTTCAGTCTGCAAGTGATCTCTCAAGGGACAAAATCAAACAATATAGGACAAACAAATTTGCTGAGTCTCCCAGAAGGATTGTTTCATCATATGTACCTTTAAAGCCAGAACCACAAGGGAGGTTTCTAGCATCTGCTAATGTTAGGAAAGCCAAGATGCACATTTGATAGATGAAGTGCACTTTAGTCTTGAACAGCTACACTGAAGCATCTCGGAGCGTACCTTGAGCATCTCGGAAGAAAAGTAACACAAAACTGGCCCATCTCCAGCTATCCAAATCCATTCTGGGTTGTTGATGAAAAAAAGGAAGGCGAATGATGGACCTCTCTGCTGCCTCGGCTGTCTAACCACAGGAGAAACCAGAGAAGGGTCTCTGTAGGGAAGTTTCCATCAGCTACACCAAGCATCACTTGAAAGAAGCCAAATTTATTTTCTCCACATCTAAAAAACAGCCATAACTGAAGAAAACCCAGGGTTTATTTCAAATACTGTTGCTCTGCTTCTCAAGAATCCAAGTCAACTTTGTCCAAAAGCCACTTTCCCTGCAGCCCTTTCTGGATTGCCTCACAACAGCCCTTTCACCTATGGCCAGAGGGCTGAGTCTGGCCTCGCTCCCTCATTTGTTTTTCAGAAACTTTTTGCGACTCATGTTTGGGTTCAGGCGCCTTCTGCCTGCACCCAGTGTTGCATCCCGGATCTGCAGATTGGCTGCCCGGCTGTGAATGTCGTGTTCAGCAAAAGGAGAAACTCCAGCCACGTAATCAGGGTCAAAGGCATTGGTCTTCTGCCTGGCCTTGCGGGAGAGCCGCTGCTGGGGGAAGCGCTGGTCCTCCGTCAGGTGGGGATTACTGGCATGCTTGCCTCCTTGAGGAGCCGGCAGAGAGTGCTGTGGAGACAAGCCCGGCAGGCCCTTACCCCCCTGGAGGCAGTGGCCTTCCTTGGGCTGCAAGGGCCCTGAGCAGCCTTGTTCTGCCCAACTGGTTCTCTGGCCTGGGGCTAGCAAGCAGGGAGTGGTTGCCTAAGGTAGCTCGGCTGCTCCCAGCCCAGCACTTCTCATGGGGGGCAGTAGAGCAGAAGCAGCCCCCACTAGAAGGGAAAGGGGAGGCAGAAGCAGACCACCAGGATGGGGCACTCACCCGGAGGCCACGTGGGTTCAGAACTTTGGGGTTCTGGGAAAAATGCAGGTGGAAGCTGCCATCGTCTTTCACTGTCACGGCCACTTTCTTCAGTGTCTTGTTCCCACAGTGGGGGCAGAAAAGCCGGGTCATTTTTGATGTTGTCCTAGAGAGCAGCACATCAACCCCATGAATGCCCCATGGCTTCCCAGCTGGTAGCCAGCTTGTGCACCTGTAACCCACGTACCTGAAGCAACCATGGCAACGCAGGATGTAGCTGCGGGCCTGCCGAATCAGCAGGCCGTTGAATGCCAGCACATGTAGCCCCATCTGCAGCAGAACGTTCTGGAGGAGACAGGGAAAAGGCAAGTCAGGAGGAGTCAGAGCACGGCGAGGCCCAACAGGGATGAACAGGGGACTGGCGGGTTTCACAGAGCACCTGCTTGCCTGCATAGCAAAGTCAGTGGTGACGCAGCCAACCTGCACCTTGGCAGGCTCACTCCCCCAGCAAGTGCTCTGCTGGATCTGCTCAATGTTCCTTGGCGTGATCCAGCTATCTTCTTTGCTGCTGTCCTCCTCACTACTCTCCTGGCCCTCAGGGTCCTCCGCCTCTAACAGAAGAGGGTCTGCTTCCTGTGAAGGACAGAACAATTAGGCAGCATCTATGCACACGGTACCTGCCCAGCCCACTGAGTCAAGGAATCCTGTGTGTGCCAGTCATGCAGCCGCCCCAGCTGCGTGAGAAGGGAGACAGTGGATCTCTCACCAACAGGCCTTCCAGGTCCTCCTCTATGTTAGGCAGAGGATTCCTCCAGAACAGGAAAGAAGAAAACTCAGTCTCTGCAAGTGCTACAGGATCTTCTGGATCTGTTTCCACTACCAAAGGGATTGTCTCATTTCCTGGGCATTTTGTCTTGTGGTTGAAAGTGCAAAACAAAATGAATCTCAATCGATGCCGGTCCTGTGCAGCACCTGTCAGTCAAGGCAGCTGCTGTCCCCAGTAACTGGCAAAGAAACAGCCCTTTCTCCGCATCCTCCAGCCTCTTGCCTTTGGGGAGGGTTAGTGGGAGGGCAGAGTTTCTGCGGAGGCTCCCGTCAGGGCTTAGCACCAGGGCTTCCCACAGCATCACTAGAAGGAAAGGCGCTCTCCTGCCACAATGCCGTCATGGAGACAGACTGAGGCCCGGAGTGGCTAACTCCCACAATTACCTTAGTGCAAACATGGAAGCCAGGAACATCAACTGGTGCTTCGGGGTGGCGGTTTGTTGAGTTGAGTTGTACCTGCAACGTTCAGGGCAGGGAGAGTCTTGAGCGGGCGGCAGCAGCAGCGCCCAGTCCAGCTCAGCATCCCCTTCCCCACCGATCCCCCTTCCTCGCACGGCATCGCCCTCGGCGCGTGGGGGGGTGTACCTGGGGCCGCGGCTCCGTCCGCAGGGGGCGGCCGCCGCCGTGTTCGGCCTCCAGCTGCAGCGTCAGGGCAAGGATCTGGATGTCGGCGGCGGAGAGACTGCGGAAGTCGCCCGTCTGCTGGGAGAACTCGGTCACTGCGGGCACAAGAGGCTTTCCTGAGGGCTGCGAGAGGAGGAGGCGGCGGGGGGGGTCGACGGTCGCGGCGGGGGAGCACTCACCTAGACGCACGTGCTCGGGGAAGGGCTGCCGGAGGAGCAGCTGGAAGGGCAGCCCCGCCAGCCGCCGCCGCGCCGCCCGGTCCCGGATCTCCGCCAGCACCTCCCGGGTCGTGTAGACGCGCCTGCCGATCTCCTGCGGGGACAGCGAGTTAGCCCGGCCCCCTCCGCCCCCCCCCGCCGGCCCGTTCTCGGTACCTGGAGCGGCGCCGCCCGCAGGAACGCGCTGGCGTCGGCCACTAGATGCTCTACGGTCGCCATGCTGTGCCCGGCCACAGAGTAGAGACGCGCTAGAGCGGCACTGACGCCGGGGGAAGTGCCGCATGTCCGGTGCCCCCCCCGACTCATGCGACCGCTCTGCTCCCCACGCTCCGCTCGCTGGTCCGGCCGTGCCCGGGTGACCCGCCGTCACGTGACGGCTCCAGAGGCGGAAGCGCTCCGCAGCCGAGCCGGGAATCCCCAGTCAGAGCCGGCGGGGCCCCGGAGGTCGCAGTCGCCGCGTCGCTCCGCAGGTGGGTTGAGGGCAGCTCGAGCCCCTTCTCCTCGGCCCGCTCGGGGCTGCGTTCCCCGCTGCCCTGGCGGGAGGGGCGCCTCGGGCCTCCCACGGCGCGGCGCCGCCCTCCGAACCCCGGTGCGCCCGAGCCGCCCGGGCCCGCCGAGCCAGGCGGGGCGGCCGTAGCCGCCTCTTTTGCGCCTCCCCGGCTTCCTCTGGCTAGCCGCGCCGTGACGGGACCTCGCCGCCCCCTCTGGGGCTCGCCGAGGCTGCCCCTTTCCCCGAGTTGCGGCGGAGCTAGGGCTCCGGGCTCATCCCGCGGTGCTCGCCGCGCTCTCGGGCGGCCCAGGGGCCTCGGCACCAGGTCTCTTTGCGGGGCTGGGACGAGAGCCCGTCGCGCTGGGGATGCTCTGCGGACTGCCCAGCCTGGAGCTGAGGCGCCCCGCTGTCGCCCACCTCTTGCAGGTCCTGATGACCAGATGGCCTCCGAGGGGCTTGCTGGGGAGAAATCTCCGCTGACTGTGAAAGGTGGGTCCCGCTTTACCTTAAGGCTGCCCTTCTAACTGCCCCCCGCCCTGTATTTGGCTGGGCCCCCTCCTGCCAGGGGAGGAAGTGCTCGCCTCCCGTCCGGCCAAAGTTCACAGCCAGCAACAGATTTTCTCTGCTACAGTGTCAGCAGGGCAGCCTCCCTCCTCCTCTGCCGTAAGGGAAGAGTGAAATGCTGCACTTTTTTCTGGTGGAGGAGCCCACGGTGCCCTCTGGGGGGGGTGGGGACTGGAGCTCTGCCTGTGATCCCAAGAATCGTCTCCTGGCAGCTTTCATAAGAGCAGATGCAGTTTCTGAACCGGCAGGAAACCAGCCCTGTCATGGCTTCCGTGTGCAGGGTGACGTTTCCTCGAACCATTCAATGCAGCTCGGGTTGCTCAGCCTAGGCCTTACTGGGGTATGTGCAAAGTGTCTGTCTCCTCCCTTACATGCACCCCTTTCTTTAAAGCTCACACACACTATCTAGAAAGCTGTCTGCGTAGTGTTTATTCTTCCTGTTTAGTGACCCTGAAAAACTTGACCACTCCCTGCTTGCCCCTAACTCTGTCCTTTGGAACCAATAACTCATCCTGGTACAGATGCAGCATAGATGGGGGGAGGGCCTCGGCACACCCCTTGCCCATGGAAGTGCCTGCTTGGGTGGCCCCTTCAGGCTGGCCAGCTGCTTGCTATGCCCCCTGCGTGCCACTAGGGGGCTCCCAAAGCCCAGCAGCTTCTCCCACAGTCTGGTCAGCCACTGGCGCTGCCCTGATGCCCTCCCTCCCTCATTGCTCCCAACTTTGCCACCTGGGAGGTTTCCAGGGAGATTTGGCTCCAGATGTGGGGTGCCTAGAGGGTGCTCCCTCAGTTTGGCCCATCGAGACAATGGCTGCTTTGCATCTAGGAAGCTTTGTCTAAATGCTTCCAATTAATTGAAACAAAAGTTGGTGTGCATTTTTGCCCCAGGCCCTCAAAGGACAAATGCTTCTGTGTGCAGAGTGGCCTGGATAATTGGGGGAGGGGGAGGGGAGGAGGGGGGCAGAAGTTGGGATGAGTGCAGGCGGTCACATCTGTCCCTTCTTCCTTCCACAGTTGTTTCAGCAAAGCCCAAGGCCCAGGGCCGCCAGTCTCGGATCACCTCCTTTGTGGAGGTAGTAGTAGATGGACTCGCCAATGAGGCCAAGAAAACAGGGAAGCAGACCGGGAGCTCCGAACTGCTCTGGAATGAGAGCCTGGTGCTGTAAGGACTGGGGCCCTGAGCATTTGGGGGGGGGACAGTATTGTTCCCTCAGCCATACATTCCTGCATCAGCTGGGCTGCCTACCATAGAAGCAGCCTCTTGCTGACCCAGGGCTGGGGGCTGTGCCAGGCAGACCTGCAGGAAGACTGGGTTGCTGGTTCCTCTGCCTCCAGGTTGGTCTGCTCTTAAGAGCATGAATCGAAGAGAGACCAGAATGCTGGGTGCTTCTGTCTGCTGCTCTTGGGTCCTGCTTAGGTTTCCCCCCATTTTTAATTGTTTGCCTGTCAGCCTGGTTCTAGGGGCTCAATAGCCCATCCTTCTCTCTCCCAGGAATGTCACTTCTCAAAGCCACCTGGATCTGAAGCTCTGGAGCTGTCACACCCTGCGCAATGAGCTGCTTGGAGTGGCGTCCGTCAACCTCTCCAGCATGCCGAAGCAGAGCAAGGGGAAAGGTATCTCTGCTCCACTGAGCCCTTCCTGGCCTCACTGGGCCTCCTGGCAGCAGAAACAGGAAAGGAACAAGGCCACCTTGTGAGCAGCTGGGCGGCCTCCTAGGCCCACAGTGGGGCGATGGCGGCAGCAGCAGCTTCCAGGATGGAGATCATCCCTCCTCTGGCTGCTGGCCATCTGCTGCCCCCCTTGGCAGCTACTTGAGGTAGCCCTCGGCAGCTGTGCTGCATAAAGGTCTCCATTCAGGGGCAGCACAGCACTCAGTCTGTTCAGCCCAGCTCCTCCCCCCCCCCCCGGGTCCCATGCAGAGGAAGCTCTCGCCTCCTGAGGGGGGCTGGGCTGAAAGAAAACGGGGAGAGCCAGGAGTGGGAGCTCCAATCTTCTGGTCTGGCAGTGTTGGTCCTGCTACCTTGGCGCAGGAGCATCAGATTGAGTCAGGGCCCTCGTGTGAGGTTCTGGGAGCCATAGCTGCCCTTGGAAGAACTGGGGCCTTTGGGGCTGCCTGGGCCCTGAAGCGCACTTAGTGGCTGGGGCCAGAGGGCAATACTGGGGTGAGCCTCCCCTTTTCCCATCTGCTTGCTCACCGGAGCCGCCGTCCTCTGGATACAATGCTCCTTTCATAAGGCAAAAGGCAGTTTGGGGAAGCAAATGGAGACGGTTCTGCTGCATACAGAATGGAATTTGCCTGGCCTCAACTGCAAGAAAAGGCTTTGAACACCAGCTGGGCCACAGGGCTCTGCGGTGGACACTTCTCTAGCTGCTGTAACCCAGAGTAGGAGAAATTCGGGGCGATGAGGAGGCCTGGCTGCTCCCATCACCTGCATTTCCCAAGGGAAGAGCTGCCATTTCTGCCCAGCTTTCCCCAGGAATGGGTCAGCCGATGGACTTCACATCCCAAAGTCTTTGGAAGGCACCAGTGAGGGAGAGTGAGGAGGGGGAGGCCAACTGGCCTTTCTGAAAGAGTGCCTGGCCCTTGGCTCGGCTCCCTCTTGCCATGCTCTGCCCAAGAGGTGCCACTTGATGGGAAGAGCAGATGTGGGTAGACTGACCACTGGTGGCTCTCCTTCTTGGCCATCCTTCTTTAAGCAATGACCCATTCCAGCCAAACACTGAGGCAACAGAGTCCCCAGGAGCTGCCTTCAACCGCTTCGTGGGGTCCAGTTGAGTCCTGGTCTTCCTGCGCCCTGCCAATTGCCCCTCCTCCTTGAGTTTGAGGCTGCTTGTTGGCCCCTTCTGCTCCTCAATGGCCTGTCGGGGGGGGGGAATGGGGGAGACAGGCAGCCCTTTGCAGCTTGAGCAGAGGAGGTGGTATGAACACATCCAGGCCCCTCCAGCACCTCTTTCAGGGCCTCTTTGCTCTCCAACCTTAGCGGGAGGGGTCTCCCTTTCCTGCCCGGCCTGATGAGCCCAGCCCCAGTGCTGTCTTGCAGCTGGGCTGGGAGGAGGCTTTGTGCCAAAGCTGGAGGGGGGTAGTTGATTTCCTGATCGTGGTTGTACCTGGAGGAGAGTGTGTGTGTGTGCAGGAAGGGGGGTGTTAACAGAAAACCAGTCAGCTCTGGGTGAATTACTGAAGAGCCGAAACAGAGCCCTCCCTGCCCCCTTCCAGTGTGCCCCCCCTAGTTTTTGTAGCTCCAACCGGTGCCAATGGTGGCATGATGCAAGGAAGGAGGCTCCTGAGCAAAGGCTGGCTTATCTCTGCAGACAACAGCCGTGCATGCTGCTGCTTGGCGTGGGGGCTCTCCTGGGCCAGGGAGGGCAGCCCCTCCACCAGGACTGTACCCCATGGAAAACTGGGTATTGGGGCCCCTGCACACACAGAGCTGTTCAGCAGCCTTTCAAGACTTAGAAGGGGGCTGCTGCTTCTCAAACTCGGTGCAACCTGTTACTTCCAGCTTTTTCCACGGAGCGCCTCTGGATTTCCAGATCTTAAAATATGGAATCAACACTGAAAACAGTTTTCCAGAAGAGCTCTGAGCGCTATTTAAAAAAGAGAGAATGCCATATTATGTAACTCAAATTATGGTTCTAAAATTCTTCCCCCCCCCCTTTTTGGCAATTTTAATGTGCTAATTGGTGATTAGTTGCAATTCTGGTGTGCTTTTAGGTACCCTTTTCAAACACTTCTCCACCCAGCCCAAAATTAAGACTCTTTTCCTTTCTCTCTATACCAAATCTCCTTTCTGTAAGGGGCATTTTTCCCAAGTCCAGTTCCATTTCTCTTTTCTGGAATCTGTTCCTCTCCCTCCCCCAGACTCCTCATTCAGCCTTCGGAGGTGCATCGGGGACCCTGCTCTCCCCCTGCCGTGACTACTGCCCGAGACTCCCTCTTCCTGCCCCCCCCAGTGGGAGTCCCAGCCAAGGGAAGCTCTGCTGCTTGGAAGCCAATTCAAGGCTCAGTGTGCCTTTGTGCCCCTCTCTGGGGATCCCCATTGGGCAACTGAAGGGGGTCTGGCCTTGATGGGACCCACAAGTGGGGCTTTTCTTATGAGGGGATGTGCTGAGTCCTCCGCTTGGAGGGGGGCCTCTCATCTTTCTGGGGGCCAAAGAGGATCTGGGTAGCAGCAGTGGGGAAGTGGACTGTTGCGATGGGGCAGAGCAGAACTTGAAGGTCTGTATGTCCCATATTCTCCCCCAGCATGAAAAGAGAGGTCTCCGGGGCGCCTGCTGAGCTCTCTAGTGGTGGTGGTGGTGGGGGGGTGTCTCTGCAGGGTGTCCTGAGCAAGGCTGCCATCTTTGGGGTATTTCACGCCAGGCTGGCATCAGTTCTGTGCAGTTGGAGTTGGGCCTCGAAGAGCAGGTGGGAACAGGGACTGGGCAATGGATCCTGCAGGGGGTCAAGAGCTGGCAGCTCTGCTCAGGCTGCCCGTGAGGAGGAGAGCAGAGCCCTGGGGTGAAGCAGGCTCAGGCATTGTGGGCGCTGATGGGCGATGGCTTTCACCCTCACAGTGGAGAACAAGCCGATGACCTTGAACCTGCAGGCAGAGAACAAAGGCGGCCTCCTCTCGGGTGGTGAGCTGACGGTCTTCCTGGATGGGCCTGGCATTGAGGCGGGCAGCCTGCCTAATGGCCCTGTGGCAGCAGGCGAAGGTGAGCGAGGAGGAGCTGCCCAGGACGGGTGGCCCTTCCTGTCCCTGTCCGCCTTTGCAGTAGGGAGGCTGTTCCCTGGGGAGCCTACAGGAGCCCTGTGCCTCACCAGCTGAGCCCTCGAGGGACGAGGAGCAGCCTCTGGGCAGAGGCTCCTGCTCTGCGGCAACTAAGCCGAGGGTGGCACCTTTCAGGGGCTGCTAGTGCAACTGGTGCTTTCTGGGAATGGGCTCTGAGGTCTGCCGGAAAGCACCGACCCAGGGAGCCGCCCGAGGCACAAAGGGAGACGCCTCTGGGCACCCCAGAGAACCCTGAACCTTTTCTCCAGGCCTGTCTTCTATTGTAAGCCCTCAGTCCTGGGGGGGAGACGGGGCAGGATGCTTGCCAGGCTTGGCTGTGCATTCCCCATTTCTTGCAATTTCAGGGCCCCAGGGAGCCGGGAGGGAGCCTGGGGGCCCAGCTGCTTCTCCAGAGAACAGGCCCCAGGCCTCCAGCACAAACTGCCTCGGCGGTTGGTCCAGGTAAGGCTCTGGGTGGGAGCGCCCCACAAGGGTGGAGAAGTTGCCCAAAGGCTCCTTGGGCTGCAGGGGGAGGAGAGCCAGCCCTACTGCTCCCCCCAAGGCGTTCTGCCCTTCCCTTCCCTCCTTCTAGCTGAGGTGGTCCTTCGGGGCCCTTGCAGAGCCCCTGGCCAGACGCCCTGTGGGTCAGTTGGCTGCAGCAAATGCTCCCTCAGGGGCTTCATGGGCTCCATCTCAGGGCACTCCTTTGTGTGTGTGCTTGGGGGGGCTGACTGCCCCATTGACTGCACCTTTCCTGAGTGAGGAACCGGTGTCAGGGATGGGAGTTGCAGATGTGTCGCCCAGCCCCCGCTGCTCTGGCTGACTGGGCTCCTTTGCCCCCCCCCCCCAAGTCTCCTCTGCTGCTCTGCCCATGCTGGGCCTCTGGTATTGTGGCTCTGTGCCTCATGCAGGCTCTTGGATGGGGGAGCTGAGGCCCTGGCTTGCTCTCCTGGGCTGTGGTTGCCCCCCCTCCGCCTCTTGGCTCTGTGGGCCCGGTGCCCACCCCAGCCTTTCCCCAGCAACACCCTTGTCATTTCCCTGGTCCTATTTTAAGCTCCATAAGCTTTGCCATGTGACTGCCTTGGTTCACTTCCACAAGCTATTAAAAGATAATTGGCTTTTAGGAGCCCAAGTTAGGAGCCCATAGGAAGGTACATTCAGCCCTCTCAGCCACTGCTAGTCGTCCTTTGGAAGCAGCCACTGGGTTTCTGGGAGCCTCTGTGTGGGGGGGTGCGTCCCTGCCTGCCTGCCTGCCTGCCTCGTACCGCATGCCAGGGACAGCCTTGCACCCGCTGCCCCTGGGCTTGTTTCTGCTGTTTTCTCTCCCCTTCGCCTATGCCCAACCTGGTGTTAGTTCCAGGGCATTTTAGATGTGTGGGATCATGCCACCCCCATCGGGTGAGTCAGTGAGTTGATTATATTGTATTAATTGATCTTTGTCATCAATCTTATAACATGGCTCTTTAGTGGCTCAGGAAAGGGGACAGCCCATTTTTCTGGAGCCTGCCTAGCTGAGGATTCTGGGAATTACAGTTTGCTTGAGAGGCCTCCCTTGTTCTGCCCTGGGTGGTTGAGTAGCCCTTGGGGTCCTGCAGCGTGAGGGTGCTGAGCAGGGACAGAGGAGGCCAGCTTTCCAGCTCTGAGCCAAGCCTGCCCAGCCCCTGTGTGGCTCACACGGTGCATCCCAGGCCAGGCACCAGGGCCCACCCTCTTCATGCCAACCAGCTAGGCCCATCCAAGGCCCGGTAGAGATGCTGGCACCCAGTAGGAGAATTGGTGGCCATCTGTGCCAAGCATCTCCTGGGGCTGCTAATCTTTGGCGCTCCCAAAAGGAGCCCCGTCAGACCCCAGAGGGGGCATGGAGGCCTCCTGGGCATTCTGCCCAGCTCCCCTCTTGCCCAGGAGTCACAGGAACTGAACAAATGGTGCAGTGGCAACCCCAGACCCTCTTTGTGAACAGGCCTGGAGAGGGGGCTGTAAGTGGTGATCTCCTCTTTCTTTCCTCCCCAGAGCACCCAGGTCGGCAGCGGAAGCCCCAAGGCAGAATGTGGCCACCCTGGATCACAGCCCAATCCTGAAGACCCAACCTCAGCAGCTGGGCAGAGGCCTGGAGGGCAGCCAGAGCAGGACAGGTTGGCCTGGGCAGAGGGGAGATGCCTGTCCAGCAGCCCCTAAGTTAACAGTTGCATTGTGGTGGTGGTGAGGCTCCAGATGCTGCACTCTGGCCGGAGCTGTTGGGAATTGTGGTTCAGCAGCCCCCAGAGGTGCCTGGGGCCTCTGTGCCACTGTGGGGAAGCCGTGGACACTATTGAGCCAAGGTAGGGGGTTCTGTCTTTGCAGTGAATGGAGAGTCCGAGAGCTCTGCAGCCGAGGCTGAGGAAGAGGGGGCTGGGCCCCCAGAGGGATCCCCCCAGCCCAGTGCGGCTCACCCCCCCGCAGAGGCAGAGGAGCCAGGCTCAGGCAGCCAGTCCTCCCAGGGGGCAGTCCAGGTGCTGGAGACTCTGCCATCTGGGTAAGGGGCAAGGAGCCCTCCACCTTGAGAGCCAGAAGGGAGGGAGTGTCTTTGGGTTTGTTCAGCAGATGGGAGGAGGGGGGGGGGCTTTGGGGCAGGCCTGGAAGGAGAGGCCGGCAGTCTGGCACACAGCTCTGGCCTCCCTCCACAGAAGGCTCTTTCGCCTGCTGACACCCCCCCCCCGGAGCCCAGCCTCCCGCATTTTCCAATGGAAGCGCTCCTAGTACTGTGTCTTCTGGGTGGGTGTGTCACTGCCAGGTACTCAGTGCGTCCTTGTGTAGTTGTGTGAGCCCTGTTCTGTTTGGCTTAGCGGCTGCTGGAAAAATCCCAGCCTCTCAGAAGCTCTTTCATCCCCTGCCTTGTCCGGGGATCGGCTGCGGTGAGCAGAGAGTCCCTGTGGTCCGGGGGCCCTGGGCAAGACTCCCGTGTGCAATCCCTGAATCACCTTTCCCCCAGAAGGTGGGGAGGGGAGTCCCTGGTGGCTTCACACCCCGACTTGTGCTTGCCCTCCGTTCTTCTCCAGCAGCCCAGAGCCCCGCTTTGCCCAGCCCAGTTGGCCTGGGTAAGGGCTTCAAAGTGCTGGAGCTGGGCTTTGCAGAGGAGACGGTTTCCTGGGGACCCCATTCAGGAGGCCCCTCCCCAGTGGACTTGCTGGCTGCCCCCACTTCCTGTCCTCCAGCCCAGCATCTGGTTCCTATCAACAGTGCGTCTGGTCCGGGGACAGCCAGCCGTCCCCATTAACCCAGGGCGTGCGCCCGCTCACCAGTCGCCTGTCTCTGCTGCACACAAAGGTGCATTATGCTGCTTGCCACAAGCACAGTACAGGCGCGAGGCCGGGCCTCTTGCTCAGCCTGGCTGTCCTGCTCCCAGCAAGGCGCATCTGCTGCAGCCGCCCGAGAGACGAGCAGCCCAGGTTGCTGTGCTTGGCCCGCAGCTTGCTTGCAGGTTCTGTAGGGGGGGGGGGAACAGCAGCAGCTGTCTTTGCTGTATTTAAGAGTCTAGTCCTCAGGACTTTGAGCGCATGAGGTCCTTGACCAGGGAGATGCCTGTCAAGGGCTGCAGTTCTCCCTGGCCAGACAAAATTGGGAGGGGGATCCTATTTGAGAAGGCAGAGATTGCATTCAGGCACTTGCTATGAGTCCCCACAAGGCCCAGCTTCGTTTTCCAAGAGATTCCCAAACCCACAGAGGGAAGTCCGGGGGCGGGGGGGGGGAGACTCTGGGAACGGCCCTCCCAGTTCCCCTCATTTTCTCCTCCTTTCCTTCAGGTGGGAGCAGCGGGAGCTGCCTAACGGGAGGGTCTACTATGTGGACCACAACACCAAGAGCACCACCTGGGAGCGCCCCCTTCCACCAGGGTAGGTACTGCAAGTTGCAGGGCTTGGCCTGTGGGATGTGCCTGTGGCACCCAAGGGAGCAGATTCCGGCTTCAGGCAAGGAGATCGAGGGCGGTGCCCCCCTCCCACTCCAAACACCCCTTGACCCTGGCCAGCAGCCTGGAGGTGCCGAACGCCCACAGACATGGGGGACCCTGACAAGGCCGCCTCCCTTTTCTGTGTAGCTGGGAGAAACGTGTGGACCCCCGTGGCAGGTACTACTTTGTGGACCACAACACACGTACCACCACTTGGCAGCGCCCCACAGCTGAGTACGTGCGCACCTACGAGCAGTGGCAGAGCCAGCGCAACCAGCTCCAAGGCGCCATGCAGCAGTTCAGCCAGAGGTTCCTCTACCAGGTAGGGGCCGCCATCCCCCCCGGGGATACCGCTGCAGCACGTCCTTCTCTCAGAGGCAAAAGACGCGGCTGGAAACTGACACCAGGTCTGAAGGAAGGGGGGTTGGGTCCTGCAGTTCAGGCAGACCCCCCTTGAGGGTCTTCTCGAGCATTCTCGAAGTTGGAGGATCCCAGGATCTTTCTGGCTTCACTGAATCTTCCAAGAGACCTGGAGAATGGGGTCCATATATGGGAAGCGGCCATCTTTAATCCAGACGGCGGTCAGACGAAGGCAGGCAGAGCAGGAGCCAAAAGCCCTTTTGGCTTAATGAGTTGCCCTGAACTGCGTTGCTCAATAGCACCAGATTCAGCCTCACTTCACAGGTTATCTGGAGCCTCTTTAGGACTCTCGGCTGCCCAGCTCTGAAGACACAAGTGCTTGGCAGCCCCTGGCAGTTGGCTCAGGCGGAAGCAGGGGCAGCCGTGCAGGGCATGGCAGGTAGCTAGGTGTGGAGGGAGAAAGGGAAGGGAAGGGAAGGGGAAGGAAAGGAAGGAGAAGGGAGGGAGGGAGGGAGGGAGGGAAGGGTTGGAAAGAGAGGAAGGGCTCCATTCCCTAGCGTGACAGGGCCAAGGACGCTGGTGGCAGGTCGCTCTGAAGAAGCACCTCCAGTGCCCTTCATTGGCAGCACAGTCCTGGGGCTGGAGTGGCTAGGCGTTTGGGAAGCAAAGTCCCTCACAAGCTGCTATGTGCAACTTCACAGTGTAGGCTAGGATTCAACTCCCCCCCCCTCTTTATTGGGTGGGAATTAGCCCCACGCACCTTTAGGGCACAATAACTGCTTTTTCAGCCTCCTAGCTCTGACTACTCTGGCTGGCTGCTCTCTCTGGAGACCCTGCTGAGAGCTGGGGAGGGGGCTATCTAAACAACCGGCTGTGGCGGCTGCTGCTGACAGCTGTGCCGCACCTCCCGGCCCACCCCCTTGGCCCAGAGTTGCATAAAGGTGCTTTGTACCGGCCTGGGCGGAGGGGGGTGCTGGGGAGACGCCTGTCTGGGTGGCATGAATGTGCCCTCTCAGGCCGAGCCTGCCTCGCGCCCAGGCGCTGGTTTCACGGCTCCGTGCGAGGGGGAGGAGGCGGTGGTGGGCGGCAGGCTGAGCCAGGAAGCTCTGGGCGTGGCGGGCTGCTGGGAATGATTTCATTGGAAAGGCCTGCGATATTTTTTCCCTGTTGCGTGTGGCTGGAGGAGGCTGGCTGTGGGGCTGTGGTGGGGCTCATCGCCTCAGCCAGCACGGGGCCAGAGGCGCTCCCACTCTTGCCCTGAGCAGGACACGCCAGATGCCGCTCGGCTCCCCTTGAGCCCCTGGGCAAAGTGGGCAGCGCCAGGGGTGGAAGAGGAGCCACCGGCTGCTGCCTCCAAGCCTGACCAGCCTGGCACTACTGGCTTTGCTTTTTCCAGTCCTCCGGCACGGCCGCTGACAATGACCCCTTGGGTCCACTTCCTTCTGGCTGGGGTAAGTACTTCAAACTCCAGTGCAGCCTGCTCTGGGCTCTGAATTCAAATCCTGCCTTTGTAAATCTGCCTACTTTCTTGTCCCCTGCACTGAGGGGCCTCTGTTGGAGTTCCTGCATTCACCCCTTTTTCTTTTCACATGTGGGGCAAAGTGGGGAGGTGGAAACTTTGTTGCTGATGAGCCCAGCTTGCCTGGGAGATCCCTGAGAGCTGTGCAGGTAGGGGAGACCGAGGGAGCCCCAAAGTCCGTGACAGGAATCTTGGGGGGGGAGTGATGAAACAGCCTCATGGCAGCTTTGTGGCCCTTGCAGTGCAGCACAAGCCAGGGAACCAGGAGCCCACCTGCTCAGGAGTGATCTCCACAGTCCTGTGGTAGTGAAGCCTAGTGAGAGATGGCTTGGAGCTGCACCAGTCCAGGAAGCTCTCAGTGCGAGGCCTCCCTTGGGCAGCCGTTCTCTTTCAGCCCAGCCCATCTCGCAGGGTTGTGGGGAAGATGGGAAGCAGCAGCATTCTGTACGCTGCCTGAAGTCGTGCAAAATACAGCTGGGTTATCAAAAATGCTCCAAACAGCTTTTCTCCCTGCCTTTTCAAGGGTCGGAGTCCCCCGTTCTTAGGGCAGAAGAGCCAAATGGTTTTTCTGGGGTGCTGTGAGCATTCTCAGCTGGGCAGGGGAGAGGGGTGCGGGGCTGGGGGCAGAACAGAATGGCAGGACCTTCAGACCTGGAGGAAAGAAGCAGGGAGGAGAGGGGGTCTGCCACGAGGCCCTTCAGCAGGACTCCCAGTCGTGCTCCTTGGGCCCCGAGGCTCTGGTGGCCAAGACGGTCCCAAGAGGCACAGACTATGTGCAGAGGGCCCAGCAGCACGCAACCTGAGCCCGATGGGACTAGCGTGGGCCCCTGGTGCCTTCCAGGTGCCCCTGCTCTCCGCTTGACCTTAACCAGCCGGCCCCCTGGCCTTTCTCTGGGGCCGAGACTGAGCAATTAAGCGCCCATCCCTGGGCCTATACTACCCTTCTCAGGTGGGGCATTTGTCCATCACATGGGTTAGAGAAGGCAGTCCTCCGGGGCCCATCTTAAGCGGGTTTAGGCAAGGGGGTCCTGGGGGCCCAAAGAAGGGAAGGGCCTGAACCAGAGCCCTTCAGTGTCAGCAGACAACCCCGGCTTCGGGGTGGGGCGTGCTCCCGGCTTCCCTCCTGGTTAGGCTGTTGGGGGTAGCTGTGCCAGATCTTTTCAGAGGTCTTCTTGGGGCTCTGCACTCTTGTCCAGAAGTGTCTCCCCATCTCTATTTCCCTTACAGAGAAGCGGCAGGACAACGGGCGAGTGTACTATGTGAACCACAACACCCGCACCACACAATGGGAAGACCCTCGCACTCAGGGGTGGGTAGCACACCAGCACGCCTGAACTGCCTTCTGTGGCTTGCCAGATGGAGTCCTAGCACCCCTCTTAGTCTGCTGGCTGGAGGGCCAGGCTTGGGTGCTCCCCCCCCCCGTGTCCTGCCTGCTCCTGGAGGGGCCTCGAGACAGGACAGGATGGGCCCAGCAGGGAGGGAGGGAGGGAGGGAGGGAGGGAGGGAGGGAGGGGATGCGGCCAAATCACTAGCTGGGCACTCTTCCCTCCCATGGCCAGGATGATCCAGGAGCCGGCACTGCCCCCCGGCTGGGAGATGAAGTACACGAGCGAGCGGGTACGATACTTTGTGGATCACAACACCCGCACCACCACCTTCAAAGACCCCCGCCCTGGATTTGAGTCTGGGTATGTCCCTCCCTAACCCTAACCCTAACCCTGACTGCTCTTTAGAAGGCCAGATCCTGAAGTTGAAACTCAAGTACTTTGGCCACCTAATGAGAAGGAAGGACTCCTTGGAGAAGAGCCTGATGCTGGGAAAGATTGAGGGCAAGAGAAGAAGGGGACGACAGAGAAGGAGGTGGCTAGATGGAGTCACTGAAGCAGTAGGCGTGAGCTTCAATGGACTCCAGAAGATGGGAGAGGACAGGAAGGCCTGGAGGAACGTTGTCCATGGGGTCGCGATGGGTCGGACACGACTTCGCAACTAACAACAACATGTCCCTCCCTGCCTTGCGAACTCTGTGGCTCCGGTGGCCTTGCGAAGCGAGGGGGGGCTCCTTGGAGCTGGCGCCCTGTATGGACAGCTGGGCCTCTGGGCGCCCCAAGTGCTGTGGGAACCTTCAATTCTGTCTCCCCTCCTAGGAGCAAGCAGGGGGGCTCCCCGGGCGCTTACGACCGGAGCTTCCGCTGGAAGTTTCACCAGTTCCGCTTCCTTTGCCATGTGAGTCCTTGGGGAGGAGGATGGGCAGTGCCAAGGGACGGCTGGGGGAGGGGGGCTGGCAGCACAGCCAGTAGGACCCTCACGGCCCTTTCTCCCCCACAGTCCAATGCCCTCCCCAGCCACGTCAAGATCAGCGTCTCGCGGCAGACGCTCTTTGAGGATTCTTTCCAGCAGGTGAGGCTGAGCCTTTGCGGGGGAACCCCTGTCTGCCCCCCCCCGTCTGACCCTCATTGCGGCTTCTCTTTCCAGATCATGAACATGAAGCCCTACGACCTGCGGCGCCGGCTGTACATCATCATGCGTGGGGAAGAAGGACTGGACTATGGAGGCATTGCCCGGTGAGTGTCGGCAGGGCATGATGTTCAACCCCCCCCCCGAAAAACTTTATCCAGTCCTCCTGGAAGGTGCGGAAGAAGCAGGCAGAAAGGAGCAGGGCAGCCACGGACTCCTGCCTGCCGAGGGCCGCTAGGAGTTCTCGCCACTGCTGCGAGGCCCCCTCCGCGCCCGGCCCTGCCAGGGGCACCTGACGTGTCTCTCGGTGGCCCGCCAGTGGTTTTACCCTATGGTAGGTGACCTGGTGCTGTTCTACCACAGGGTAGAACCACGGACGGGATGCCGGGCTCTACACCGCGCAAGGCAGCCAGGGCTCGGGAGAGAGGCTGGGGGGGCCTGCTGAGGGGGGGGGCAAGGAGCTTCACCGGCCACTCCTCTCTCCCCAGCGAGTGGTTCTTCCTCCTGTCCCACGAGGTGCTGAACCCCATGTACTGCCTCTTCGAGTATGCTGCCAAGAACAACTACTGCCTGCAGATCAACCCTGCCTCCTCCATCAACCCTGACCACCTCACCTACTTCCGTTTCATTGGCCGCTTCATCGCCATGGTGAGCCAGTCCCTCCCTTCTAACCCCAGGGGGACCGAAGCTACGTCCCCCCCAAAGTTCTGCCCAGCTGGCTAGGTTTAAAGCCCAGGTGTCCGCCCACCTTCAGTGCTTTGGGCAGAGGTGGGCTGGTGGGGATGGGCAGCAGCCTGGCTGGCCCGGAGCGCCCCCTCCAGAGGCAACTTGTTTGTAAGGGGGGGTACTTCATTTGGAGCAAAAGGGCTCCCCGACTTGGTAACCTTGGAGGGGGAGAGCCACCTTAGCCTAGAGTGGCCAAGTGAGGTAGAATCTGCTGGCACAAATCTGATAAAAGACAGATGATTTTGTAAGCTCAACTGATGCCTTTGAATGGCCTTTATTAGTCAGGGAGGGTGGCGTGTGCTGCTTCGCCCCTGGGCCAACTGGGCATTTCCAGGCCCTTTCCAGCACCGCCTGCTCGCTCGTGGGGCTTCCTTTGGGGGGCCCCCTTCCTTTCCTCTTGGGGAAAAGGCAGGCCTGGGGGGGAGGTGTCAGGTTATGGGGTCTGGCTGCCAGCAAGGGAGGGAAGGAGCAGGGGCTACAAGACCTGGGTGCTTTGAAAAGGAGGGAAAGAAAAAAATATCGGGAAAATAAGACAGTGCATTTTGTAGGCATGAAAACATTTCCTTTTCTTAAAAAAAAATCAGTATTCCGTCTCTGCTTAAGACTGCCTTGTTTCTTTTAGTGTACAAATCAGGCATAACTGAGGCTGGCCTAACTGCAGATGCAAAGGGACACAGGCAGTGGCCTTTGTGTTCCCTCTCCAAACGTAGCCTCACCGTTTCTTAGCAGAGAGGGAAGAGGCAGTGCCCTCTTCACCAGCCCCGGTGGTGGGAAGCTTTGGCTCTGCCCCCCCCCCCTTACACCCTGTGGGCAGCTCTGGGCAGGCAGGCCTGTGGCAGGCTGCTCTGGGGACACTGCTGGGCTTCTGTGGCGTGACACAGAAGGTGGACAGCACAGCTGTTGCTTAGAGCCCAGTTCAGCTGCTGAGATGCTGGACCGCCCTTCGGGGTCTTGGGGACAGGACTGGCGCCTTGAGAGGGCCCCTCTCTTTGCAGGCACTCTACCATGGCAAGTTCATTGACACGGGCTTCACCCTGCCCTTCTACAAGCGGATGCTGAACAAGCGCCCCACCCTCAAGGATCTGGAGTCCATCGATCCCGAATTCTACAACTCCATCCTCTGGATCAAGTCAGTTCCCCCGAGGCCCGTCTGGGGCCCTGCGCAGGGGCACCCTCAGTGTCTGCGGGAGAGCAGAACCATCCTGGAGGGAGGGGGGCAGGGGGCTGGGTTTCTAGCTGCCAAGCCCCTTACGCTGTGGTTTCTTGGGGTTTAGAAGGTGTTGGGGCAGTTTAGAAGTCGACATGGGGAGTGGTCTTGGAGGGGTTGCTGGCCAGAGTTCTACTTGGCCTTGTGGAAGGCGCTTTGAGGCCCCGGTCCCCGTCCAGGAGGCCACTCCAGCTTCTCTCTGGCGCTTGCAGGGAGAACAGCCTGGAAGAGTGCGCCCTGGAGCTCTACTTCATGCAGGACATGGAAGTCCTTGGCAAGGTGACCACCCACGAGCTGAAGGAGGGCGGGGAGGAGCTCCGGGTCACTGAGGAGAACAAGGAAGAGTACATCATGTGAGCTGAGTCCTCTGGACCTTCCTGCTGGTGGCCCTGGGGGTGCTTGGGACCCCTGCAGGGCCGAGCAGTTGGGCCACCGGGTTTTGCCAAGGGGGAGGAGGGCAGGATCTGGGGGTTGGCTGAGCGGCCTTCTCCCCTTGCAGGCTGCTGACTGACTGGCGGTTCACACGGGGTGTTGAGGAGCAGACCAAGGCCTTCCTGGACGGCTTCAACGAAGTGGCCCCTCTGGAGTGGCTGCGCTACTTTGACGAGAAGGAACTGGAGGTGAGCAGGCTGCCTGCCACGTGGGAGCAGGGACCGCCACTCTTTTCTCAGGAAGCTGCCGGTCCCAGCCCTGAGAGCCAGAAGCCTCACAGCCTCATCCGGCTGAGGGAGGCTCTGATATTTGCTCAGGGTCAGTTTCGGGTTTTGGGCCCCCGAGTCAGTTTTTGACTCCTGGAAGCTCCTTGCAGAGGTCCCTGAGGTTTTCTTGGCAGGCTTTCCAGAAGTGGTTTGTCATTGCCTTCTCCCTGGGGCTGAGAGGGAGTGGCTGGCTTTCGTGCGTCTGCCCATTTCTAGCCTGGTGCTTTAAACGCAACACCAAACCGGCTGTATAGCCAGTCAGTCAGATGAGCTAAAAGTACTCCGAATGAGAAGGGCGTTCTGGGTGGACGAGAGCGTTGCCTTCCAAGCCTCCCTTCGAGGGCCAGTCTCCCCCACGACCAGGCTGGCAGCTCCTGCCCTGCTCCCAGCACTGGCAGGGCCGGTGCACCATCCAGGAAGGCCACAGCAGGCGGTCTTGTTTTATTCCTCTGCAAATGCACATAAGGAAGCACCTTTCATTCATGGCCTCGGCTTCATCGGTCAGTGAGTTGTTGCAGTTTCCTTTGGCCTGCCGAGAGAGCTTGCCTCAGGCTCCCTCCCGGAAGCCTCTTTGACAGGTGGCACCGACCGGGTCTCCTGCTTCTTCCCCAGCTGATGCTGTGTGGCATGCAGGAAATTGACATGAGCGACTGGCAGAAGAACACCATCTACAGGCATTACACCAAGAGCAGCAAGCAGATCCAGTGGTTCTGGCAGGTGAGGAGCCAGAGAGACCAGGAGGGCTCTGAAGCCCCTCAGCCCTTGGATCCTTTGGAAGAATCCACAGCTGGGGGGGGAATGACCCTAGAAGTGGTGAAGAGATCTACCATCTCCTCGCCCATCTGGTGGTTGCAGGTGGTCAAGGAGATGGATAACGAGAAGAGAATCCGGCTTCTCCAGTTTGTGACAGGGACATGCCGCCTGCCCGTCGGAGGATTCACAGAACTCATTGGTAAGTCTGCCCCCCCCCATGGAAGAGTGGGGAAGGAGGGCCCATTTGGAATGTCAGGCATCCTGTTCCCAGATGTGCAGTGTATTTCCTTCAATGGCTCTTCTCCATCAGGCAGCAACGGACCCCAGAAGTTCTGCATTGACAAAGTTGGCAAGGAGACCTGGCTGCCCCGCAGCCACACGTGGTGAGTCAGCATGGCAGGACCTGCAAGACCCCCCCCCAAAGGGAGCAGAGCTGCCCCTGCCAACCAGCCCTTGCCTCTTTCAGCTTCAACCGCCTGGATCTGCCTCCCTACAAGAGTTACGAGCAGCTGAAGGAGAAGCTGCTTTACGCCATCGAGGAGACCGAAGGATTCGGGCAGGAGTGAGGGGTGTCTGGAAGGAGCCTGAGAAGAGCCATCCTGCCTGCCAGGAAGGACAGAATCCTGGGGGGCACGGCATGGAGTGGCCCTCTTGGGGATCGCTGGAGCAAGATCTTGTAGCGGAAGCTCCCCCTGCAAGGTTGGGGGGGGCTGGATCCCAGAGCCCCTCTCCTGCTCCCTCCTGAGCTGCATTTCCCTGGCCTCTCAGCCTCCTATCGTGGGCACTTTGGGTCTCCTGCAGACCCCCCTCTCCCCTTCTGTCCAGCTGCTCTGGCCAGGGCCTTTCCTCACCCACAGAGCACTTCAGCAACCCTCCCGCCCGCCCGCCCGCCTTAATATTACCAGCTGGGCTGGGGCTGCTACAGACTGGCTGGCCCGAGACCTCAGTGGGGGCAGCTTCCACTGGCTGCTCTCCAGCCTGGAAGGTGTGACTCGGGGCAATCCTGCCTGTTCCCAGATAGTGCCCGGCAGCCTCGGCTCCTTTGCAGACCAGCTCTTGCTGTCAAGGCGCAGCCCCTGGCCTCTGGAGAGCCACAGCCGAGAGGCAGGCCTGGAGCCTGGCCACAGCAGGGCCCTGGGAAGCGTCCTTGAAATCTCCAGGCAGAGTTGAGCAAAGGGCTGGCGTGTCCCCAAAAGCAGGCAGCATCAGGGACAGTTGAAGGACTCCCTCATGGTCGGTCTGCGTGTGAACATTTGAATTCTGTGACCGTTGCCCCAGCTCGAGTTTGTGGCAGGGAAGCAGAGGCCGCTCCAGCCCCAGGAAGGGTGGGCTTGTGCACCTTGCACCCTTGGGGGGCCCTTGATCTCCATGGAGGATATGTGTATTAATGTGTATAAAAACATATATGTGAATATATAAATTTGTATATAAATGTCTCTGGACACAAAGAATTGCAATAGCTTTTGATGGGTCCTTAAGTAGTTTTGTACCGCACCATCTGCCTCAGTGATGCCACCTCTTGTGCAATAAACTATCCGCAGCTCCTCATGCGTCTCTGTGCTGGGGGGGGGGGAGGAGGGACATAATCGGCAGGTGGCTCATTTCCAAGTGAAAAGGGATGTGGGGAGCAGCTACAGTGGAAAAGAAGGGAGGTTGAGCTCAAGGGAGTTTCCTGCCTCTTGGGCTGACTCCTGGCACGTTACCTGCATTGTACTCTGCTTGCTGGTGACTGTACCGTGTTTATGGTGTGGGCAGTCTCTGCACCTGCCTCTCTGCTGAATGGCATCAGTCCCGGCGCTGAAGCTGCAGAGCAGCCAAGCCTCTTAAGGCAAAGCCAGATGCTCCTGGTGCAAAAAGGGGCTTGTGTGTTTCCTCTGGCTGGAAGTGGTGAGTGGGTTCTTTGCTTTGCCAGGGGCCGTTCCAAGGCAGGTGCCTAAGGAGAGCACCATGGGCCTGGTGAAGCCTTCTGGGTGGTGGGCGCTTGCCCACTAAGTGCAGAAGGGCAACAAGAGGCCCAGGGAGACCAGGAGCCGAAGGAAGAGAGGGAGGCTGAAGGGGTGTGTGTGTGTGTGTGTGTGTGTGTGAGGCAGCTCTTGGCAGGATCCAGGTGTCCATGTATGCGCTCCAAGGGTGGAGAGGAACCTGATCTGGCACAAAGGGCTCTGCTCCCCTGGCCTTGGCTCCAGGTGCCTGGCAAAGGAGCAGCCAGATTTTGCTTGGCTCAAAGCAGAGTGTTTCTGTTGCGAAGGCAGGATCCTGCTCTTCCCTGGGGGAACAGGGAAGGGCTCTACAGCACCCGGTGGGAAGTCAGGAGGCCAGCAGAGGGCCCTTTGCTAGCCCATGAACATGCATTCCACCAACTTCAAACTGCCTATCGTGGTGCTGCCCCCTTCCCTGCCCCCATGCCCTTTCTACCTGTGAAGCCAAGTGATTGGAGGAGCACGGGCACTAGGGGTGTTTGGGCAGAAGGGTGGGCATCCTTCAATGTGCCACTTGCCACCTCTCCCGTGGACAAAACCCTTGGGGTGGGCCGGTCTGGCTGCTGACCTTTCTCCAAAGGAAATGGAGCTCCCACCCTCACAGTTCCTTTCTCCCAGCCACTTGAGTAGGGAAGCCCCAGGAACACCCCAAGCTCAGCGGGACCCCTGGAAGTGGGCCTCCCCCTTTGCCCAGGAATGCGACCTTTTGATCTGCCCCCTATAGAGGGACTTGGTCTGAACTGCTGGCTCAAACCAGCCCCGACCCTGTTTGTGAGGTTCCAGAGCTTTGGATCGGTCTCTCTTAGTTCATGGCCAGAAAGAGAGTCTATTCTCTGGGGAGGAAACAAAGAGGCGCATCTCCAGCTTCAGGTCATTCACCCGGATTGGCAAGACAGCGATGGACTGGGACAAGATCATGCAATGGCACAGTGAGAAAAACTGATTCGAATTGGGATACTCTTTTAAGGAGGCTTACACATTTTGAATATACTCAGATAGTGGCCAACCCCAGCATTTATTGCTTTGTTCACTACCAAAAATCAGAAATCTAGGGCAGAAATCTAGGACAAACTGTAGCAGTTAAAAAGCTAAAACCAACAAACTTCTGTATGAAACCAGAACATCAACTTTAGGCTCTTCTGGCTAAGCTGGAAGTAGGAAATGCAGAGAAAAATCACAATTTTTAGGCTCTCTACTCAGAAAAAAAAAATCTGGCAAGACCCTTACATGCTTCCCAAATAAGGAAGTGTAAACAGTGCCACAGCGCCTGCTTCCCACAGCAAGTTGTGCAAGAGCTGACACCTGGTGGTGCAAATCACAAGTGCAAAAATCTGAGCTCCAGCTTTTTTAGTATGAGCCTCTTGCTGCCCCTCAGCACAGAAGAGACCAGAAAGAGTCTTCCCTGCCCCATGTTTCCCCCAAATGAAGCAGACACCAGAGCAACCCTTAGATGGCAGGATGGCAGCACCTAGGGAACATTCAGCAAGAATGCAGAGGGGCTGCCTTCCCAACAGCAGCTATCCCTCCTGCATGGATAACTGGGAAGACATTCCAGGCAGGAAGATGTGAAAATCATAGTGGAAGCTTGAATTTAGCTGGACCCTGGCTTAAAAACAACCCCCCCCCAAACTGCCCCTGTGGGTGATGATCCCACCTGCTTTGAAGCCCACAGCCTCCCAAGGATACCAGTGTGGCATCTGGACCGCAAAGGATCCAGGCTTCTTTTCCCCATAAGGGAGAATGAAGGCCCAGTTGCATTCTGGCCTGTCCAGCAGCCGCTGCAAGCACATTTCAGGCAGCCATGGATTGATCTGGCTCTCAGTGCCCCCCAAGCCACAGATAGGGAAGAATCTTCAACCAGAGCAGCCTGGTGCAATTTAATGCTTTTAATTTACAAATACAAAACCTGATTACTATTTCTTCTCCTTCTTCTCTTCTTTCTTGGCTTCGCTTTTTTCCTTCTCCTTTTCCTTGTCATCTTTCCTCTCCTTCTTACTCTCCTCCTTCTCCTGCCCCTCCTTCTTCTCGGCATCTCTGTTGGCAATCTTGTTGTTGATGAGGTTGTGCAGCGCTACCACCGAACGGATCAGAGAGGCCAGGTAGACCACCACCATCTGGTCGTTGGTCTTTAGGTAAAAGGCTTTGACGAATTCTTGCAGATTGACATCTGGCAATAAGTTGAAGACATCCTGGAGCTGGTAAATGATCTGGTGGTTGATGGGAAGCTTGCCAACTGCCACTTTTTCTAAGTAGCTCCTGATATCTAAGAGCTTGGAATTCAGTCCCTTCAAACCATGGACCTGATTGGTGATGCGCTGGGAAAGTGTGCCCACTGTGGTGTCCTTAATGTCGCTGGAAGAGCGAGGGAGGAGGAAGCAAGTGGTGTCAACAAAACAGGCTATTCTCACGGTCATCCTACAGGGGGCTCTTCTGAGTAATCTGAACCCAGAAGGTGGCCCCAAACAGAGACCCAGGCTTCCCAATGGAGAGCTGGACCTTGCACTTGTCTTTTACCCATCCCCGGCCTCTGATGTGGCTGGAAGAACAAAGCACAAACTACAACCTCCCAAGTGTTTACCGCAGCAAGTGCTCCACACCAACTTCTTCAGCTTCCTCTGCTCCAATTTCACTGGTCACATGCTCGAAAGTCTTGGACGTTGGGGTTCCATCCTTTAGGGCCAAAAGAAGACAAGCACGTTGTCAACGCTGCAAATACTGTATATTCTTGCTTTGACAATGTGCAGAACTGTCTGGTATATATATAGTTAAACCAGCAACTAGGAAAGAGGGAGGAGCATAAGGATAGCCCGGGAGGAAGTAAATCACATCTTCCAAGTTGATTGGAAGATGTGAACCATGAACCTAAAATAAGGGAGTGGAATGCTATGCGTAATGGAAGAGAAGCAGTTCTAAGCATTCCACCATGCCGTGCTGACGTATTTTAACATTAATAAATGCTTTTAGGAGAAAACATGCCTGAAAGTCCTTTTAAGTGTTTCGTTACTCAGACACATGACACACGTCATGGCCAAGGAATCTGCGTCTGGGCAGGAAGGGCATCTTTGCAAGCGAGGCATTTAAACAACGGGAACTGAACGTCTACATGATGGCCAGAGCCCCACTCCTGCTCCACCCCAAAGGGAAAAGGGAAGCCAAACCTCCCAGCAGGGGAGGGAGGGAGGACCTTGGGGAAATCAGAGGAGGCAGGGGCTTGGGGGAAGGCCCGGCCCCTGCCCTGCTGGGAGACTCACATCGTGGACCTCTTCCACAGAGATGTAGCCTTCGGTGGGCAGGCCAAGGTCCTTGGGCTTCACGTCGATGATCACCAGCACCTGAGTGGGAGACGCTCGTCAGGCCCGTCGCCCCAGGCAGAATGGACCCCCGCCCCGTCATCTGGTGGGCGCCTCCCTTACCGAGTTGGAGCAGTAGCGCTTCATGAGTTCGTTGATGGCGATGTCGTTCTTGTGCAGCTTTGGGCCGGTGTGGTACCAGCCAACGATCCGCTCGCGGGCTGGGGAAGCGGGGGGGGGGGTTATCCGGAGCCTCGGAAGGGCCCCTGGGGGCCCGGGCCCATCCAGGGCGGGGGGGGGAAAGACTCACCGTTGACCTTCTTGAACATCCCGTACATGTTCTCCAGGTAGTCG